CGTGGTAAAATTGCTGAGCAGGTGTCCATTTGTCACCCCAAATATTCATTGCGCGGGATTTTTTAAGGGTACAGTATCCTTTTCAGTTTGGTTGAAAAATAAACCCAAACATACCCAAACCATCATTTTTTGGTCCTCCCATTGTGGCACATACAATACCCATTGAATCTGGTGATTGCAAGTACAAACAAAATGCTGTCCTAATCCAAGTGCGGTGCAGCGTGGCATTGGTCTATAGCCTGGCGAACACATGGGCATGCGCAATGTGACACTACTCAAAAGATCTGGAAGACACACCTTGACCCTTTTTGGGTTTGTCAAAGTCGGGCAACTTATTTTTCTGGTTTGCCTTTAACCAACCTAAAAAGGGCGTCCTGTGGCGCCCTCAAAGAACACACACGCACACACGCACACACACACACACACCCAAGCACGCACACAGCATTTTGACACCATGGCATCCATGGCCAAATATGGCCGGAAATCAAAAGTCAAAAGGTACTTTTCGCAAAAAAAAAGGCGCCCTGCAGCAAAAACGATGCTGGCCTCAAACCATTTCTGCTGCTTCATGAAGGCCTGAGCGCGCACTCTGTCGCTGGCACGTGATCAATCAATCTGCACGCGCCTGCGCAGTGTTGGAATGCAAGACTGCGGACAGCTGATTCGCCTTGCTGCCTACGAGCGAGGCGGGAATTGCCAAGAGTAGGGTTGCCACGTTGCGTGCGCCAAGCAAATCTGAAATCCTTAATTGAGGCACCAAAAACAAACAGGTTCAGCGGGTCCGCACTGACAAACACGTACACTCTGTGAATGCAAAAAATGACTGAATCCAGTTCCGGATGCGTTTCACACATTTGGCAATTTGCAAGCAATCCCGATGTGGCCTGTGCCCTTTTCCTCGAGCGACCCCAAAGCCTGGCGAGTATTGGGCACGTTTTGGACAAAGAAAAAATCCTTCCAGCCTGCCTCAGTGTACAAACGACGTGCACCTTGGGCTGAATGGCGTGGATTCGTGCAAAAAGGGGAAACCAAACACAGCAAGGAGTACCTGCACTGTCCCCCGCCGCCAATTTCCGATTGCCGCGTTCCTGCGGAGCGAATTCGGAGGAATCTGCCAGCAATATTTGCGCCTGAATTAGGAAACACATGGGAATGCGTCCCGAAACTGGTGCCGTAGCATGTCACATGGTGATCGATTTGTTTCACCCATCGGTTTCAAACAACACCAAATAACATCCCGCATGGCTGTGATGGTTGTGCAAGTCCTTGAGTTCTTCGCAATGGGCAATCAAGTCTTCTTCCTGATCGCCAGCAATCAAATTTGAAGCGTCGGGGAATTCACACGCCCATGCCGGCTGCCTCCATATGCTCGTAGGTCTTGCCACTCAAAAATGCTTGCTTGGTTGTTCCTGTGTATCAAACAGGCCTGTCGCATTTATGTGCCGCCCTGCCCCCCCCCCCTTGGCGTCAGACTGCGAACATGTGATGGTCATCTGATGCAGGTGTTCATGCGACAAGGTTCAAATCGGACATGTGGTAGCTACATTTGCTCAGCGGTCGTGCTATGTTTGTCCACCTCAAGTTCACGCAGTGCGCAAGCGATGCTCAGGTGAGCATCTGGTAATGTCCACCGCCGTGTGTTTGGAACACCCGGATGGGATCGCCCCTGCGCGGCATGCGGCTTCCGACATCGAATGTTCTCAAGACGTCTGCCTCGGTTCGTTGAAGCATCGCGCTTCAAAGTACGGCAAGACCTGCTTGGCGCTGTGCCGGGCAAATGTACCCCTGCTGAAATGCAACAATACTGCCAATTGGAGATTCCCCTGTGCTGTCATGGTTAACTTTTCCAGGGTCATAGCTCCCTTACTAAGAATCCTTACCATGGCTGCTTTCATTTCCTGTTAAGGGTTCCATTACCAGTGCTACCAAGCCCAGGATCACCAATCTCAAGCTCTTCAATTCGCTCAGCACACAAGATTTCATGAGCAGTGCCTCCCACTTGCTGCTTCCAGCCTTGCGCACGCCGGAAATGCAAAATGTGTGGCACTGGGGACAACATTTGAGGGCGTCTCAAAATACTCCTGGTGCATTTTGCCCTTGAAATCACTGCTTTGAGGGTGGAAAATGCATGCAGCCCCCAGCCTCTGGCTCCATGATCTTCACGTCATCCTGTGACACCTAAGATCGGGTCTTCGGCTCTTCGCCCATTCCCACCCATGGATATATCCAACTGGGCCCATTGAGTGGCATCCTCCAAATTTGCCCTCTAAAGAGCTGTCTCCAGCGAAACGCCCCCAAAGTAGCTATGACAACCCCTCAAAATGTTCGCTTCAAGGGGCTCAGTCCATCTTGGTCCCTTTTTGAGTCGCGCGACTAAGCGGGCACATGGTTGCCGTGAGACGCTCTCACACGGCTTCCGATGGCAATCTCCGTTTTCCAGCCCGTTTTAGTTGCCACCCAGGGCTCCCGTGTTTTCCTCTCGAAAGCCTAGGGGTAGCTCTTTGCAGCACCCAGTGCTGCGTCCAGCTTCGAAGCATCGCCCTGGCCCTGCGCACGATCCTCCTGGGAGGACTGAGGCTCACATCCAGTTCTCTAGGGCTTGGCTAACTCCCCAGTCTTTTAAGCCCTTGTTCTTTTCAGCCACCAGTGGTTTCCCTGGGTTTTTAAGTTCAAATTGGTTTTTTTCTGAGAATTAAAAAACCCCAGGAAAGAAGGGGGAATCAACCCCTGGAAGTTCTGTGAACTGACAACAGGTGGGTCTCTCTTTTTTCGGGGGCCCAAAAATGGCTTCAGTGTTCCATTTGCTTCCGTTCAGTGGAAAAAGTGAGGAACCAGGAAAAAAACACTGGTGAGTGGCTATGTTTATAGCGATTCTTGAAAGAATCTGGGGATTGGCCAGGGAGATCAAAAGCAACCGAAGCCCTTTTAGGGCAATCCCCCCCCCCCAGTCTCACTTGCCCAAAGGATGGTGGCTCCAAAGTGAACCTGTCGGCTTGGCTAAAAATATCCAACAGACCAAACCCAAAGGTGAAGCCAAAAGCTCAAAACATGGCGACAAGCAAAGGAGTAACTCATTGACTTGGGCAAGGCATTCAGAGAGATTGCGAGCGACTGGTCCTTTCCACCTCCCTTTCCACCAATCGCATCCAGCACCTGCGGCACTTTCATGCTTGGTCCCATGGCAATCTGTGCGCGCACGCTCGCCCCGGTCAGACTTTGGGGAAGGCTCTCGGAAAGTGAAGGCTTAGGAATCCTTGGCTAATGCCCGGGCAAAAGGTTCATACACTCTTGGCGTTTTGTGGGGAATAACCTCATTCCCCCTCACCCCCCCAAAAAAAAGAAGCTCAGGTGACATCCACAACAGCATTCGGTGCTCTTTTTAGTGCTCGCACCACCCCGCAGCCCTTGCAGAACCTCGAGGAACCCTCGTGGAACCCTGGTGGAACCCCCGTGGAACCTTACCTCAGGGCTGCCCCGGACCACCCCGGAGCCTATCTGGGCTGAGACCCCAAAGCTTTCCGCTGTTGGGGAAAAAAGAAAAAGCAACAACGCTAAAGATCCAACCAAACAGCAGCCACGACTCCTGTGCTCCGAAGTGCTATCATTTTCGCGCGAGCGAATTCGATCCCCGCCTTGCCGGACCACGCTTTCGCCGACAGCTTGCCCACCAGTGCTTTGGGAACCACTGCGAGGATGGCCAACTTGCCGCCCATGTTGCTCATGAGCATGATCGCCTCGGCACCACTTGAGTGGCGTGTCCGTACAAAAACACACACCCTCGGGTGTAAGGGGTTTTGGGAACACCAAGCTTTTGAGGGTCCCGAAAACATCCAAGGCTCAAGAAAGGGAAGTCAGAACATGTACCAGCTAGAGGTCGCTCATTTTGAGAACCCAATTCGGGCTCAACATGGGTACCGCCAAAGAAATCGGGGAGCTACCAGGGGAAGTGAAGGGACACCCAGCCGTTTTGAGGACGCCTCAAGATTCTAAATATAGACCTTAAACCAGACACCTACTTTTGGTATGCTTTAGGAATAAAACGGAAACGGTCGATTTTGAGGGGTCCTGAAAGAGCCAGTGCTTGCCCCCTTCATCCCTCAGACTGGTGGCACCCCTCTCGCCCCATTGAAGGCCATACAATGCTCAACCGCAACGCTAAGCATTGCTTCATGAACGCCATTTTACAGAATAACGGATGGTTGTTTATTCATTGTATTCTTCATTTGTATGTATCCATCTATTCGTCTATCTAGTGTTCCGTATTTCTCGTTGCTTCCTTAAGAGGAAAACCACGCATCTGCGCTATGTTTTCAACCTTTGCTTTAAACAGCAAATGCCTATTCGGTATTCTGAATTTAAGCCACTAATCCTTGGTTTCCTATGGCTTCCATTTACACGAGGCTCAGGGAAACCTATGGGCAACCATCCCCAGTGCTTCCAGTGTAACCAGGTATTAACACCTGGCTACCTGCTACAGTTGCCTGGAAGCACTGGGATTTACAAGAACACAGTAACCCTTGGTTTCCTATGGGTTACATTTACATCAATACCAAGGGAAACCTATGGGCCAGCATATTTTTAGTGCCCTTCAACCAAGGGCACTTGACGTGTTGTTGAATCGAGGCCACTTAAGGCCGTGTTTCCGGAAACCATGTGCCCTCCCACCAATTATATAACATGGAACCTGACAGAAGGGTCCTTTTTTAGACCACCTTCCTTTTAAAGGCACCGGGTCCCTGTCATGTTCCATGTAAAAAAAAAAAAACAACGGTGGGAGGATAACAGGAACACAGTAAACCTTGGTTTCCTATGGGTTCCATTCATATGCATAAGGAAACCTATGGGAAACCATTCAACAAGAACACACCCAGATCATCCTTGCCGCCGTCGGCTACTTTCAGCGGCTGCGGCGTTACGGCTCGCGCCTTGTCCGGGCACTGCTTGATGGCCGCCTCCATCGCTGGGGTCAGGACCTTGGCGTCGTCGCAGCCAGCCCCCGCCTGGACCACGCCCACGAAGGTGTCCCCGGAGCCCGCTGTGGCCTCCTTGCCTCAAAGTCCCCGGCCCTGTTGGCTTTGCTTTTTGGAGGGAGGGGGGGGGGGGTGTTCTTTGAATTTGTTTCTTTGAGGGGCCCTTTGTCTGTTTTTTGTCTTGTTTGTTTGGGGGGAGGTTTTATATTTTCTTTGGGGGGGGGGGGTAGATGCTTCCGTGGTTTGCTCTGTCTTTTTGGGGTTCCGTCTTCTTCGTTTTTTTAGGAGGCCAACGCGGGACTACCCAAAATGGATAAATACTCACCCAGCTGCAAAACCGCCAAAACCTGATACCCTGGTAACATGTCCAGTGACTGATGTGGCTATGTGTCAATTTACATCAGGAATGGACCCCCAAACATGGAATTCGGTTCTCCTTGTCCGTTTAAACCAAGGTAAAACGTTAAAACCTCGGCAGCGTCTCAAAATGTGGAAACTCCTGGAACTGGGGCATGTGGCTATCCCCAAATGAGCAACTGAAGGTCAAAAAAGAAAAGACCGGGACCGCAACATGGGAAGGTTCCAATTTTGGCTTCCCTTCAAAACAACCCCTGACAAAGGGCACCAACAAAGGTAGAGAGACAAACCGTTGACCCCAACCCAGACCCCCCCAAAAAGATATATGGAAAAGAACTGAATGCAAAAAATACCAGGTCCATGTTTGTTTTTGCTTTTTTCGCCCAGCGGCCCAGCTTCTCGCCATCCTCCTTGGCCTTGCCCTCGAACTTCTTGGTCTCGGCCTTGCCTACCTTCAGCAACCCCTTCGCCCTCGGATCACGCGACGTGGGGACGGAGGAGCTGGCAAGACTGGCGGCTCGCAGGCGGAAAGCAGAAAGCCGAAAGCACCCCGCAGCCGCACCAAGAGAGATGGTTGAGCAATGTTGCGGGCAAAGTGGGTTTCATGGACCCATTTCTGGAGACAGCCTTGTGCTGCGTGCAGGTGATGCGCACTGGGGCAGAGTATGCACCCTGGCAGGTACTCTGGCAAGCCTCCGGCTGCAGTGCCACCAAGCCGCACGCCATCGAGCTGCGTCATGATGTCGGACTTCATCAACAGGGACACTTCCTTGTCCTGCACTGGGTCTCTTCCCCAAACCCGCCCATGGCAACCAGGAAGGTTCTTCTTGGGCCCCATCCACGTTTGCGGTCGTTCAAGAAATGGGTGCTTCCCAAAATGGCCACCAAGGCAAAGGCAAACAACCAAAACCTGGTACAGGCACTACCCGAACCACTGAAATAAAAAAGATGTCCGCACCACCTGCACCAACCTGAACCCAACCAGGTCTTTGTTGTCCGATCCCACCAACCGCTCCACTTACTTTTGAAAGCGAACCGCTCCTCGCACACACTATCCTATAGACCCCCCACAATCGTTCAGGCTTTGCGAGCCTCATTAAAGGGACGTTCTCTCTCTGTTCCGCTGCAAAGACGTTTGTGAGGCCTCAACTTTACGAAATGGAGGGGGCTGTTGGGGATGATCTTTGGGCTCCCGCTGACTTTCGCTCCTCGGTGACTCGCCGCCGCAAGTCCGCGATGCACTTGTCAAGCTCCAGGCTCGCACTCATGGTCTTGACGCTGTCCAAATCCACGCCTTCCGACGGAAAGCAGAAAAACATACAGCGAAACAACAAGCACACACACACGCACACCGACCGGCCGACAAGTCCGACCGATCGACCGACATGACCGACTGATCAAGCAAACAAGCAAGCAAACAAACAAACAAGCAAGCAAAGCACGCTTGAGCACAAAGCCAACCAAGACAACAACGCAGACACAAGCAAGCACAAACACCTTCCGAGCCTCCGGCCCGGACGTCTGATATGTCGACTTGCTCTCTTGCTCTATAGCCCCAACAGTTCTGTCAAGGTCGTCTCCGAAAGTGGTTATCCACTCGTATGCGAAATAGGGAATCACCAAAGACCATCCAAAGGCTCTTGCAACCTTACCAGGAGTCCTTTTTGTTCTGAAATCCTTTCTGCACCGGGCATTTGCTTTTGCTGCAGCCATGGGTCTAAGGCTCTTTGCCTTCAGCGTTGCTTCCACTGCCGCCTGGGGTCCTGAGCGCACAAGCCCCTGGTGGTGTGGTATCGAGTTTGGTGCCAGCATTTGAATCAATTGCCCTGCGCATGCGTCAAGATAAATACCCACCCTCCATGAAAGCCCCCAGAAGGCCACGAAAGCTTTGGGTGCTTCCCGTAGCTTGGAAGTCACAGCCCAATCATCACGGCCGGTCCTGTGACAGCAACTATTCGGCGGATGCCTTTGGCAATGCCTTCCTCTTGGAGAAGCACAAATTTGTAGATCTCCTGTCCGGCCGAGTGCTGACAGTGTGCCCAGCACTATTGGAACAGCAATAACTTTGCCTGACAATCGGAAAATCCAAGCGACGCAACTGCAACTACCCATCCTTGCTGTTGGACACGTGAGTCCCGCCACAGAACTCGATACTGTTCTGCAGTCCCCATGGGGTCTTCTTGTCGCTGAGCAAATCGTCGATCTTTGGACCGACGCTGACAACTCGAACGGGGTCCGGGTAGGTCTCGCCAAAGACCGCTCCTTGATAGCCAAAAACCCGAAGAACATGAGATGCAGTGCACTCTGCACCAGCTTTGTGACATTTCACGATCCGGAGTGTTGCGCAAGGTTCCCTCGTGCTCCACGTAATTAGTTCCCGTAAACATGCCCCCACCCAAGACAAGTGATCAATTGTTCTCTACAGTTGCAGGAGAACGAAACACAGGACACCCCGCTGCCAGGCCCAAACCAGGAGTTGCCGAGTGTCTGAGGCCGCTGATTGCCTTTGCCGTGTCCAGGGCGACATCACGGTAGTGGACAACGCAGGCTTTCTGGACAAGCTGATTGCAAATATCTTCGATCTTCCTGAGCTCATCCTGCTCCACCTGAACAGCATTAGGTCACTGAGTCCAGAATCAATCGGCCCCAAAACCGCAGCTGTCATTCCATGATCCAGACGTGACGTCGGCCGGCTGGGTTCGGCCTGTTGGCCTGTTGGTCTCAAAAAAGGTCGCACTTTGGCCCTTGGCCCACTGTCAACGCCATGAACTCGGGGTAGGCCCGAGAGGTGCACGCCAGGGTTGGTACATGCAACCAGCCATCCCGCGCAGTCCCTTTTGGTCGAATCGGGGCCTGCTTGTTGTGGGAGAAGTCGAATCGAAGCTTGTCCTCCGTGACCAGGGACCCCTTCTGGTCGACCTTCTCGCCCAAGACCTGGCGAAGCGCATAGTTCAGGATGTGGGTGGCGGTGTGGTTCTTTGCCACCAGCGACCTTCGCGTGTAGTCCACCTGCCGGCGAGGGTGGCCGGCCGAGCCAGAAATGGATGTCCCTCAAATAAAGAATCTCCTAAGCTAGCCGCACAATCCCGGAGACGGCCACATGGGTCCGTGTCCAAATAGAAGACCCAACCACATGACGGGACTTCCTTGTGGTTTGCCTTTAAACCAGCCCAGACAGGGTGCCAGCTCAGGAAGCTCAAATGGGCGGTCCCAACATTTCAGGCGACACCGGCCACGCACATATTGGCCCTCAAGTCCAAGGGGGGCCAACGGCCAAGCAAACGAAACGGGTTTCCCCAATGGCGAGATCCTGGTGACCAGCCCCTCACCTTGATTGTGGCACTGTCGCCGACTTTCAGGTCCCCCTTGCCCTCCACTTGGCCAATATGCAGGACATAGCCGGCCTCAGAAAAATTGGACGCCCGGCTGCTGACTGCCAAGCAGTCAAATGTATTTACATTGAAGGCCCTCCCAATAAAAACTAGTGAGTCCGCCTCTTTGTCATCTTACGAGTACTTAGCCAGTCCTTCAGGTCCCTCCCAGTTGACCGTATGGATATTTCTTGATCGAACATCTGGCAGCGAATCGGCGTGCGCTTCTCATGGCCCAGCGCCAAGCCGCATACTTTTGCGCGTTGTCCACTGCAAAGTCGACACCGTTGCAGGAGATGGTCGCCTGGATGCCCTCCCCTCCCAGTGGCTCAGCTGATTGAGGCAACCTCAACTCCCAGTCCGGGTGCCATCCAAATGCGGAGGTTTGCACCTACCCCGCTATTTATCAGCGCCACTCAGTCGCACATGTATTGCGGCCAACCCGCCACGCCACATGGACACACACAAATACATATGCACATATATATATATATATATATGTGTATACAGGCATGTGTATATCTAAATGTGTATACATAAGTATATAGCAAACCCCCTGGACTTTAACGAGGAAACTCAATGGAACTCAACACCATTCTTGGTGTGCACTTCAGCCCATTGAAGCGCATTGGCGCCTTGTCGAAAATCTGGCCACCCTGCTCTGCATAGAGCGGGGTCCTGTCCAAGACAAGGCCCACCACGTCGGAGCCGCTGTTGCAGCTCTGCACAAAGTCCTGCTCACGGCAACCGGCCCTTAAAACAGAAACTGCAAGAATGACGCGAATGACCCCCTCCCCCTGCCCCCCCTTCCCCCCCCCTTCCCCTCCTTCCCCTCCTTCCCCTGGCATTGAACCCATACAAGGGTAGGTGCCCCGAAAGGGGAGCCCGCGTGGGGTGTTGGTTTGGGCTCCGTGTTGACCCGAGGCTCCAAGTCATAACCCCTGTGACTCACGTGGACGTGGCCTCAAACAAGAAGCCCTCTGGCGACTTTCTCAAAGTGTCAGCTTCTGGACGATGCGCTGCGTACGGCCAACCATGTTTGACTTCTTCGATAGCAAAGAAGTGAGAACAGTGCTTTATGGTAATAAGTTGGAGCAAGCTAGAACTCCATGTTGCCGACCTGCGATCCGCGACGCTGAGGCGATGCAGGCTTGCAGTTGGTCAAGCCAGCGGCAATCAAGAGGAACCCTCCATTCCATGCTGTAAAATCGTTGCGCTGCGCATCAAAGATGTATGTTCGCCCCATGCTGCCCTAACCACCCATCCAATGGCGAAGCAAGACCAAACCGCCTGAGTTCGAACGAAAAGTTTGAAAGAAACCACCTACTCAGGCGTGGATTCCTGTTTATCGTTTCCAGTTCATCCCCAAAACCCGGTCTCGTTGTCATCCCCTATCGCACCAGCAAGTTGTTTCAACCTCCTACTTGAAGGCACCAGGGGCCGAGGCCCAAAACTGCTGCCAAGGAATTTCAGCCATGGGCTGAGAAAATTGGCACCCGAACATGGCACCTGGGCCATTGCCCCCAGCATCGAACCTGAACGAACGCCCCAAGTTTGGAAATCCCCCCCTGCGTTTTTTTGGGGGGAGGGGGGTTGAGGCCCCCAATTCGATTTATCTAAAAAAGGGAAAATGGAACCAGAAATGGACTTCCAGGGGGTCACCCCCCTCCCCCAACTCCGTTTTGAAGGGGGTGGGGATGTTTGGAAGACGATTTAAAGGGACAAGTTCTGGTCGCCGGAGAGAGGGCCTGTCCTGGCCGTCATAGATCGCCTGAATCTTCGCACTGTGCTCATTTCCATCGCCCTGGGTATGTGGAAACCCACTCCGCGACTCCCAAGCACGGGGGGGCGTTCTCAAAACCGATTTCGGACTAAGGGAAACCAAAAGGAAACCAACCGTTTTAGGGGCCTGTGATTTTGAGAATTCCTAATGGCCAAATCGCACATGTGCTTCTGATGGCACAGCTGGCCTCTGTGACCCAATCGTATTTCAAGTTGTCATCTGTCGGCTTCAGCTTCATTCCGTTGATCAGCTTGTCGGTCTCGTTCGCTTTGAGAGTCATGTCCTGAGCCGACAACTTCCGGGGACAATTCGCGGCAGTGCGCCCGCACGGGAGGCTGCTCGCCCGCAAAGGAGGCCTGCCAAACACCTCTGCCTCTGCCATGAAAGATGCTCAGAAAACACTTGAACCAACAAGGGATTGCCCAACAAAAAACGTCCAACTCAGCCCATGCTACGGCATTCAACAGCCCCTCAGGCTCGCAGGCATTGGAAGCTGAGAAAGTCGCCTTGCTGGAAGTCGCCGACTTCTTCTTTTTGGAGTCCTCCCTGAAGTCCGCCATCTTCTTCTCAAAGCCTCGCGAGGACTTGGGCTCGGCTGGCTGAAATTCCGGTGAAGGGAGGTCCCGAGGAAACCGGCAAATGGGCTGGTGAACTCAGTGCCCTTTTTCCAAGCATGGTGTTCAGGGTGTTGGAACACTACCTTCCTTCTTGGGTAAAGCCAACCAAATCCATGAGTGATAGAAAAAGGATACCCTTCCCCGCATCAACTTAGCACTTGTTTCTGAGGGCACTTGGAAGATCCACCTTTCCTCAAGGCATCGGGCTGCTGTGAGGTGCCAATGTTGGTAGGCGAACTCTGAAGCTCAGTTGCCCATATCTGCCCCTTAACCTAGAGTACAAGGTTCACTTTTTGGAACCTCGACCACACAGACCACCCAGAAGTACAATGTTCACCTGTTGGACCCTCGGCCAATGGACCGTTGGAGGGGCTCGATTCAACTCCACGCCTGGCATGTCCACCTCAACCTTCAACTCCTCGCCCATGAGCTGCGTCAAGTCCACTGGGAATCCGAAGGTGGTGAACAGCAGAAAGGCGTCCTGAGAGCCCCGATGCCGGTGGCTGACCCCGTTAAAAGGGAGTGGACCTTTTTTCGGGCACCCAAGGAGTCAGAGAGAAAACCAACAATTTCTTGGCGACTAAAATCGCCGTGGGTTCATATATGCACCTAGTTAGCCTTTAAGCCCTCAACTCGGAAAACATACTAACGCAACCTTCCCCCAAAGCATCGTCAATGGGACACCCATCGGCAATCAACTGGTTGATTCGTGCCGGGCTCCTCGGCCGCAAAAAGAGAACACTTCAACTGAAACATCCACATGTGTACGGGTCAAAATTAAACCACCAGGGGACCGCGGGTTTTAGTCCATGCTTCCATTTACAAGGGTTCCAATTTGGGTACCTATTTTTGACCCACAGACACATGGATGTCCTTTTTTCGCGCCCTTTTGGGCAGGTGTGTCTTCAAGAAAAAAACAAAAAAAAACACCCATTTGTAGGCTCACTTTGAGGCAAGCGCATCTAGGTTTCGGGGGGGGGGGGGGGGAAGGATTCCCAACACCCTGGAGCTTGCAGCCTTCAACATCCACAGTCTTGCGCTTTCGAAAATAAACAAAAAACAAACCGGGGGCCATGGCCTATGGGAACTACGTGAATGAAGCCAGGCAGATGGGAACTAACTGTAAGCCAACTGCAGCCCTGGATCCTCGCCAGAGATGCTACCCTTCTTTGCGAAGGTCTTGAACCTGGGCTGACGATCCGACGATCCGGCCAGAGAAAGTGACTTGAAGTGGCCAAACCTTTTGGACCCGACGGGCCTTGACACCGATAAAAATACCTGCCAACAAGCAAACACAACTCCAACAACAACGAAATGAGAAACTGATTTTTTTTTTTATTTTTTTTTTAAATACGTTTGTTCTTTCAAGTTTGCCAACTCGACCAACAAGGAACTGTTTGATGCCGCGGTCCAAGGTCCTTCCGAACTGGGCCTCCTCCTCTTTGATGATCGCCCGCACATCCTCGGGGTTCTGCTTCAGCGTGGGGAAGGCGTTCCCCAAGGTGTCCTGGACCAGCGGGTCTGCAGCATGTCAGTTTGGCTTTTCGTACTGGCCGCGTTCGCCGCTTTTGCAGGCAGTATGTTGGTTTGCCTGATGGAAACCCAAAGAGATCCAAAGGGCAACTGACATGACTTGTTTGATTCAACAAGCCAATGGCAACAAAGGGACACAAGAAGTCACAAAGGAATTTGTCTTAAAATGGGGAACCCCCCGAGATGATTGGTTTCCTTTTGGCTTCCCTTTTAAAATCGAAAGGGGGTACCCCCCCCCAAAAAAAAGAAAAAGAAAAAGAAAGAAACATAACACACAAAAAACAGACCCTTTCCCCTCACCAAAAGGTCTAACATGGTCTAAGCTGTGTGGTTTAATGGAACAGCAATTTTGTCCAAAAGGTCTAAGGGGCGATTTAGCACACCAGAGCCCAGCCATGTCACAAGAGACTTAAACCCAGGAATCGGCTTCCCTTTCGGGGAAATCAACCGCCCCTTGGTTTCTGCGTCCACCTTGGGGTAGTCCAAAAATATTGCCTGTGGGTCCAAAAATTGGTACCCACAATGGGTTGCCCTGGTAATGGAAACCTGGACTAAAACCTGCGGCCCAAATCCTGGTGGCTTAATTTTGACCCATACCCATATGGCCCCGCGAGTAAAAAACCGATGCAGGCCCGTCCAAGACCGAATCCACCAGCTGGTGGAAGAAGCCCGGGGGGGCATCCAGGATCTCCCGGCCGAAGCGCACCGCGCGCCGCAGGATGCGGCGCAGCACGTAGCCCCGCCCCTCGCAAATCCGGGGTGGTGGAGACAAAACCGCCGGGAGTCGAGGGCATTTCCAGACATGGGATTTGGAGGTGGGGATGCAAGCTGAGGAAGTATGTGCCTCTTATAAAGGCTGCATACCTCCAAAGCGAGCCTGGTGAAGCTCGTCAAAGAATCTGGTGGACTTGTTGCTTTTCGCCCGGACCCTGAAAAGGGTGTGTTTTTGCCCTGGTTGGGTTTTAATCACCTAGACATACCCGAAATCTGTGCTACCACAGTGAGAATCCCACACCCAAAACTAAGGGGATTCCCTTGGTCTTACAAAAACGGGCAGCTGGCCCTCCGTCCAGCAGCTGACAGGAGGCTTCCCCAATAGGAAAGTTGTCTTTTAGGACCTCCCTGCCGAATTGGGTGGAGGGAGGGTAAAACTTGTTGGGCTCAATAGGGGATGACCCAGGCTGTTAGTGAACCGCAAGGGGGCTTGGTTCTAGAGGGATTCCCTTAAAAGAAACTGTACTGTGGATGGACGAAATCCAAATCGCACCACCTTTCAGAAACCCTGGAATTTTCAACCCTGATTTGCGCGAAATGGTTTCGCAACCACCCGCAGTAGGGAACCACCATAGAAGTGTTTGGACATCATTATTCATACCACTTTAAAGGGCTACCCAAGATGGCCTTAGCTGCCCAAGATGGCTTTAGAGGGATTCCCCTTTAAAAAAAAGAACATAGGGGCATCATTCCTCAAGATGGTCGATTCCCTCAGAGGGATTCCCTACCATCTGATGGCATGATTCCCTTAAAAAGATTCCTTCAAGGAAACCATAGATTGGTTCTAGAGGGATTCCCTTAAACGAAACACATCGGGGCCCCGGGTTTTTCAAGGGAACAAAATTCCTTCCGGCGCTCGGCGCCTCGTTGGAGGGCGTGGCGCCGTCCGTCAGCGCGATGGTCAGCGTTCGGATGTGATCCGCGATGACTCGATACGCCATGTCCACGTGATCCTACGTGATACCAAGTTCCCAAGCCGTATGAACTTCTGACTACTTTCAAAGGGTTTGGTTACAGGAAAATCAGAACATGGCCACGATGTTCCATGTCCTTGTCCGCGTCCCCGACCTTCCCAGCGTAGGTCTTGGAGGTCTGCGTCTTCTCCTTTCGGCACAGGGGATCTAATCCTAATCCGAAACCTGTGGTGGGACACGAGCACAACAAAACAACCACTGCCACTTGGCATGAACATGAAACATTGAGTTTGCACATGTTTGAGCAACCGCAAGCAATTCCTGTGCTTTCCCCAAGGCTCCCCCAGGTTTCCCATGATTTCCTAGGACGCTCTCGAGTTTCCCCATGGTTTCCAGCTTTCCTAGGATTTTACCTAGTTTCCCCATGCTTTGCCCGTTTCCCATTTGTCATGTGAGTAAGTTCACTCGGTGCCTTGATGGCGGTGAAGATTGTCTGGAAGAGATCCGTGTCGTAGTTGGAGCGGACGTCCAGCAGAACAGAGGTGACCCGCTCCAGGCCCATGCCCGTGTCCACGGACTTCGCCGGCAGCTCGATCAGGCTCCCGCCTTCTTTGCGCTCAAACTGCATGAAGACCAGGTTCCAGATCTCCAGCACGTCCGGGTCATCCATGTTCACCTCGCTTCTGAGAATAGATGGACCACGGAAAAGCTGGGGCTGTGGCTTAACATGGAAAACCAGCACACCAAAGACAAGCTCCGAAGGTCGGCTTCACAAGTTGAGTCGCCAGGTGCGCGGCATCTCTGCCACCAATTCGGTCATAGTGGATCTCGGAGCAGGGGCCGCAGGGCCCGGTGTCGCCCATCTCCCAGAAGTTGTCCTCACCGACCAAACTGTCGAGATTTCGAAGCACGGCGAATCAAACATCTGCGAGCTCGACTGGACACCCCGAGATCTAGAGACTGATGCCTGGTCCATTCCTTTCAACCATCGTTCTTCTCAAACACCCGTCGTTTGCTCTCGGCTTTTGGTGACTGGCTGGACAAAAGGAATGAAAACCATGTAAAGCCTGGAGGCAAATCTCCTGGTGACCTGGATGCAATGGTGGGAACTGGATCCATAGGATATGGAATCACCCGAAGTGCGGTTTCTTGCCGGCTTCCTTTCAAACAAGCTGAGGTGTGCCTTCCCCTGATTTTTTGAAGGAACACTGACGCACCAGTTCCCCATGTCTGCTTGTTTCTCAAAACAGGGTTGGAACCCTTCCCCCCTAGAAAAAACACTAAAACAAACACATACATGAAGAAATGCCGATTTATTGGAGGTGATTTGGCAAGCAAACAATCCACTTTTGAGGTATCTTTTGTTGCGGTGGGAGGGGGCAGGAGGGGACCCCTCAACAGGTTTAAGAACGGCACACCCAGATAAGGTTTGTCCAAACTTGGCTTTGACTTCCCCTTGGTGTCCCTCGCCCACAAATAAACTCTTCCGAAAGCATACCCAAAAAAACAAACAAGTGCAATGCATGTGGGTGTTCCCGAAAACTTCCTCAACTCTTGGGCGAGTTGCTCTCTTTGTTCCCCACAAAAACTGACCTCCCGTTTTGCAGCTGAGAAAATCCATAGTTTAGGCGTGTGTGAAAGGAACCAAGGGCGAAGCCCAGTTTGTGCGCTTCCCATGTTTTGAAGCACAACCCATGTGAGAGCTGAAAGCAACCTTTTTGTGAAGGTGGTTGGTTCATAAATCAGTACCAAATAGGGCAACACACACCACCCTAGTGCAGTTTCGTGCCTCCAAGTCGGGCAACCCCCAACATTGACATGGACCTGCAAAGAATAGAAAAGGTACCCCTGGCAACAATCCCACATGGTTGCTTCCATGTCCACATGAGCAGTGTTCAAAACCAAGAAGGTAGAACCGACATGGGTCAGAGTCATAGTGGCTTGTATAGGCAGTACTACGACCCCGATGAAACCAGGCAGTAGGGACACAGAATGAATGGCCATCAAACCCGCTGGAATCCCGCGCTCACCTGTCAACGGCGGCTCATGTTTGGTTGCTGGCACTCGCACACTGCAAACCGCAGACTGTCCTTCATGTCAAATGGCAGGATCCTCTCCGCAGGCAGGTACCTGAGCCAAATCTTCTTGGCCTCGGGCAGGATTTGCGCTTTTCAGGGCTTCTTCTTGCCCTCTCCGGATGTGTCTCCCATCGGGCCAAAACCAGGACATGATTCTTCCGCCCACTTGTTGATTGGTTTCTCAACTACGACGCAACAACTGGCAAACCAGCGCCCCGAGCTGAAGGGATGCCAGCGGGCGCAGCTTGTGAACAGAGGCTGGCAGTCGACCTAATTTCCTGGGGAGTTTTTCCTGTAGATGTAAAGTATATCTAAGAAACCCAGGAAAAAACTCTGCATGAAATAATTGCCCCCCCCATTCATTTCTTTCGCCATCGGCAGGCCTCGTCATCCGGGGGAACGGTGGGCTGCTTGGGATCCCCCCCGTAATAGGTCGCATAGAGCCGCGCGGGGTCCAGGTGGTACACCTCTGTGAGCAGCTGCCAGGCCCAGGTGATGGCCTAGCAAAAATCGGCCCAACAATCGGAACCCGCGCAGGTGGGTTTTGGTCTTGAGGAAAGAAGGGGGGGGCCAAACATCAGCTTCCCTCCAAAAAGGGCGGTTTTTGGTCTTGGAGAGTGTTTTTTTAGATAAAAAGGGAAACCACAAGGGAACCCGCGCATCGTGTTTCAGGGGAGGGGGGTGTCCGCTTCCCTCAAAAAAGGGCGGGTTGGAGCCGCATCGGTGGTGGCTAAGGAAGGGGTTCTCATTTATCCCCTACAGGGGTTCAAATCCAAAACCAAACCACCAATTCAAACCACCAACTCACCCCCAAATCAATGGGGAGACCCCATCAAGCACCCCAAACATATGACAGAGCGGCAACCAAAAGGTATGGTCTCAACTCAAAGAGGGGAACAAAAGGGGAAGATCTGTGGGAAGGGCATCCGGCCAGTCTCTCCGATTTCCCCCTGCATATTGGTACGTCCTCAAATGTCCTCAATCATGGGGCTCCGAAACTGGGGGACCCCAAAAGGTGCTGAAGCAAAAATCTTTGGGACCAGACCCCATGCTCCTTTTGGTTTCCCCTGAAACCAACCCCTACCGAGCCTGAAAAAACTAACGCACACTCAACACAAACACACTGACATGGATTCGTCTCAAGCCCAAAAGGCCCCCAAAAGGAAACCCACTGATTGACAACAAAAAGGTGAGCTAATACGGGGAAAGCAAGGGGGGGAACAATCTGAGCGGATGGTATGAAACCCCACTGACTAATTATTGGCATCAAGCACCAAAAAATACAGTACTACAAAGTGCCAATTTTGAGCAAATCATGGGCATGACATGTATGTTCTTTGTTTCAAGGGAATCCAGCCAAAGGGCAAATGTATATGTCCGCATGAAGCCCTGGTATCTCTAGTTTCTGGTATAGTTCCCCACTCATATGAGTTTGCCGAGACTGAAGGCATGTTACTGAGCCATAATGATTGTTCAACCAATGAACTGGGGCTTCATGCCAGGGGTTCACCCGGATCTTTCCCCCAAACTCCTATTGGACTGCCTCCGAATCAACGGCCCCAACTGGGTTGCCGAAAGGGGCAAGTATCTGGCAAGTTGTCCACTATAGTTCCAACCATCTCCAAGGGGAAACAAGGCCTCCTCCTTGAAGTAGTCCCCGAAGGACCAATTTCCAAGCATCTCGAAGAAGGTGTGGTGGTACACGTCCTCGCTGCACTAGCGTGAATCAAACCTGGGGGCGCACTGATGGGGTTTGTCTATGGGGCGCCGACGAAAAACAAGCGGTGCGATCTTTGGATTGAATCGGGTCCTGGCTTGGCAAAGGAGAAATGAATCAAACCATGGCTTGGGCTTCGGAAATCAAAGGCGGGGTAACACCCCGCAACCTCTAAATCGACAAACCGCCAATTGGCACTAAGCTGACCTCTTTCGGCGACAACGACCGCAACGATTACCACGACCAGGGGAACACCCAGCCCTTGTCTTCTTAGGCTCTTCACCTGACCGTGTGAAGACTTCTCCCTGTCCTTGCCCACATCCTCCAGATCGTTGTGCTTGCCGCCCGCGCGGATGCACTTCTGGGAGTTTGCCGCGCGCTTGAGCTTGGCAAAGGGATGGCTGGGATCCACTTGGCCCACGAAGATGGGCTTGAACTGGTTCATGCCTCCAGCCGAGTTAGGCTCTTCCAAATGGGTGTCTGGGTCGGTGCCCGGGACTCGACAAATGGCAGGATTCCGTTTGGTTTCCCGTCAAAAATCACACACCGACATGAGGAACTGGCATGGGCCACTGGATTTCTGCTTTACATGCTGATCCATTTGGTGGGTTCGACTGATAAGGTCCGGTGCAATCCCAATCCGTAGTGACACACCACTGCAACAAAGGAAAGCACTAGCATCTTTGTGTCTCTTGTGCGAAACGTGACCAGTGTCCATATTCCCGGGAAGAACAGGCCGCTCCTTTTTGCTCTTTGGGCTTCAATTGAAGAACTGCCTCTTGCGCCTGGAAGTGGCTCGCTGTTGAAAGCCCCGGCCTGCATTGATGAAGAGCAAGGTAGGGTCGTTGTGAGGCACAACCGGGGAGGAAATCACGAAGTCGTGCTTCTTGCCCTTGAAGAAGTCGACAAAAGTGTCCCGAACCTCCTAACAACGGATAAGGCGAACAAACATTTTTTCACCTGCCGATTCAATGTACCCCACGCGAAAAGTGCGGAGTCACCTTCCAAGGTCACTGCTCAGCCTGCCACACCCATGGAACCTGAAGGAACCCTGGGAAAAGCATGTTCCTATGAAATGGCTCTGCAGGTGGATTCCATGTTTGACTGGTTGAAGACAATAACATCATCATCATCATCAACATCATCATCATCAATCCTCATCCTCATCCTCATCCTCATCCTCATCCTCCTCCTCCTCCTCCTCCTCATCATCATCATCATCATCATCATCATCATCATGATCATCATCATCATCATCATCATCATCATCATCAGCATCATCATCATCATCATCATCATCATCATCATCATCATCATCATCATCATCATCATCATCATCATCATCATCATCATCATCATCATCATCATCATCATCATCATCATCATCATCATCATCATCATCATCATCATCATCATCAATCATCATCATCATCATCATCATCATCATCATCATCATCATCATCATCATCATCAATCATCATCATCATCCTCATCCTCATCATCATCATCATCGACCACCCTCCCTGTCAGCCCCAATCCGAGCGCTTGGATTCAACCCGGTCCTGACCGGTTGTAAACTCGCCGCTGCCTGGACCTTTGCCACCTGTGCCGGGGACAAAGCAATGCATTTTATTACAAATGGGCCTGTATCAGACTAGGGGAACCCCCAAACTGGGTGGCTTCCGTTTGGATTCCCTTTCAGACCATCCAAAAAGTGTATCCTCGCAAAAAGGCACACCCACATGGCTAGATGTAAGCAGATCACTGTCAAAAACAGGGGGCCTTTGGATAAGCTGTACTGGACATCCGTTTTGACATGAATCAGCGTCAAAATTACTTGTCTGCGCAGTAGACTGACGCTGACTCACACATATCCCCGTGCTGCTTGCCTTGCTCAGAAAGGCTGCCGAGAACACAAGTGGTACTGGTGAATGATTGGAACCAACCTGAAGCCATCGCCTGGAACCCAACGATTTTCACCAAACTGACAAAACAAAGTGACACCTATGCGGGCTATCAAACAAGTATTTCTCGGTTCCCCCATTTATCGGTCACATGCGTGTTTAAACCAATCTTGCACCTATCCAAGCACCCCGAGGAACTCTGGGAGCGAATCCCCCGAAAGCCGCCTCTCATAATGTTGACCCCGGATTAATAAACCCCTGTCTAATAATATGGGGGTGTTCCCCTCCAAAAGTGGTCTGAATCCCCACTAAAACCAGGGACACCTCCATATTAACAAACAGGGGTCTATTTATCCGGCCGGGGTCAACATTTGGCGACCCACCCCACCCCAGCCCCCCCCCCCCAGCGGTCCCGGCCAGTCTTGCGGGGCGCGGAGGCCACTGCGCCACTCTCGCCACCCTCCTGGTTCAAATCCCGTATCAAAAATGCGGTAAACGTTTATATCTTGGTTCCAGCCACCAACGAAGACAAATCAAAAACATCACCAACAAAAAGTTCAAGCAATTCAAAACAAAAAAAAACTAATAACTGGTAGAATTGATCAATAACTATTGAAGTCGACAAAACTAGTTTAAACAGTTCGAATAAAAGTTAAACTATTGTATTTCTAAAAATACGTCGACGGGTTGACACTTTTCTTCGGTCAACCCACTCTGCTGATTTCTCCTCGGCCCCCGTCAGAATGGCCGCCGTTGCGGTCACCGGCTGCATCCCGATGGATGATAAATAGCCATGGTCTAGAGACATGGCTCCTCAGTGCATCCGGGCGTAACGGCGTAGGGATGGCCAAGTGGATGTGTGTAAAAATAGGGAACCCACGCCACAAATGGCGTGTTGTTTGAGGTTCCCTTCAAACCAACCTTAACAGGGCATCCTCAACAAACACAAACCCGCATGTATGCGTGTGTATATATATATATATATGTGTGTGCTGCTGAGTGTGTATGTATGCATGGCAGACACCAAAGCAATAGAAGTGGAGAATGCTGCGCCCATTCAGCTGCACAAGGCTGTCTTTTGAGGTTCGGTTTGCCCGCGCAAACTACCGCGACAGGACCACGGGGCTCTTGGGGACATGCAGGTTGACCCCTCGACTTGTTCAGCCAATGGAAAAGATCACGACGCGGCTGCAGTGGATCGGTCCATCAAGCTAAGTGGAAGCAATTTGTGATGGCAAGCAGCAAACAGCAAAGATAGCCCTAGAAAGCAAAAACTGTCAGGCAGCCAGGCGACCGTCTGGTCTAACCAACTTGGGAGGTCTCAAATCTCTACCAAAACTTGGGCCACGCGGCTGCCGCTCCACATGCTGGTGCAAACCCCAAAAAACACGCCGTGGGTGCCAAAAAAACAATTTGACCTGAACCGTGGCAAACGCCACCCCACAGGTTTGGGTTGGAGACATGTCCGCCAAACCTCCTGTTAGATGGGTTCCAGCCACCCCATGTTACAACTCACTCGCAGGCAACTTGCAAAGAAGCTCTTGCCGCTTTTCTTGCCGTGCACGCTCTCTAGCGATCAGGCCTCCGAAGCACACCAGGCAGCTGAAGCTACTTCGGTTCTAACCCTGGCTTTAAGTGGACTAACCCCAGGCCCCCCCTCCTCTTGTTATGGATGAAACCCACTTACTTAGGTGGTTGAACACCCAAGATGACTTTGTCATGACTGGGCCTTCCCTCCTGTGTGCCGTTGAAGTAACCAGAGACATAACCCCCACCCTCGAGTTCTATGGCGGCGTTGGAAGGGCAGCAAAACCCGCTCGGCCTGATGCAGACTGCCTCAAGTCCTCTGCAAGGTGGAGCGTGCCGTCGTGTGGTCTCGTCTTCTCTGCTGCTGTCAATGCAGCCTGGGAGCTGTGAGCACGGGCCACAGTGCCATTAACATGGGGAGCTCGCCCAATCCGAAACCGTGGGACACCACAACAAGGGAAACCATCTGGCACGCACCGGACCTTGTGGATTGATTTTGCCCATGTCATCTGCTTGCGTGCTTGCGATGCGCCCGAGCAGCGTGCAAGGTCACGCAGTTCTGCCTCACCATGATCCTCCTCATTGCGACTCCGGCAGGGCTTCCGGGCGGCTGGGGTTGCAGCCAGTCTTCCCCAATAGCAAGCTTCGAAACCTGACATTGGAGGTTGATCATTCCCCTCCCCAAATCCAGGGGTGACATGAAACATGGCCATCCCAAAGGCTCCAACTTGGCCCCACAAGCAAGAGCCAACCCGCAAGCCAATGCAACGAGCATCCGCATGAAAGCCATGACGTCCAACACATTCTTCCAGTTCATTGCAGCCGCGCAGGAATGCATCGACGCAGTACCTCGGTGCCAAGCAACTAAGACATTCGGGGCCAAGCTGCGAGCGCAGGAGGGTTTGTCTAAACTGGGGCGACTCCCTCATCAATGGTTGACATCCTGATTGCGTCCCTTGAAAACAAGATCAAAACTCCGAAAGATACACAGCAACGGCTAGCTGATGTCCAACTGCAGGAGCCGAAATGCCGTTCCCCAATTGCGCCGTGACATCTTTTTTTAATGGCACTTGTTGTTTGTTGTTGTTTTTTTATGTTTATTTTGGGGGGGGGGGGGGCTGTTTTGCAGGGCCACCAAGAAAAAAGAAAAAGAGGCCCCATTTTGCGGGGCTCCAACCTTTTACTTGACTCGGCAAGCTGCAGGACACCACGTTGGGCTTCAGCGGCCTTGCCAGGGTTGCCAGGGCACGCTCCCAGCCTCAGATTTTCTGCTGGCTCGATGCCCCTTTTTTGGGGGGTCAAAGGCAAAGCATTTTGAGGGCGAACAGCTGAAAGCTCTGGGGTCTTTGCCCAGGCTCTGGGTACTAATCACATTCCCTCTGTGTGGGTGCCTCATTCTTTTTGAAGGTACCTTGTTGCCGCTGATTAAATGGGAAACCTGGAGGACAGTTCCGCCCACATCGGTTGTTGCTTGTGGTGTTCTTTTGGGCGGGTGTCAGATTCTGATACACGCCGACATTGCCCCCCCCCTTCGCCCCTGAGGTACTCACCGCGGTCAGCAGCCGCGACCGCCGCGAGCGACACCACGTCAGGGAGACACGCGACTTTGGACATCTGAGCCTAGGATCCACTCGATCGATAGGGCGGCGAAACGAGGCCGAGAGCTGGCCGTGCCACGGTCACAATGTGGTCTAGGTTTGTTTTGGGGCTGTGGCTGCTGTGGCTCCCTAAAGAAGCCTTTCAAACATTATATGCACATAGTGTACAAATACATCAATATGTAATTGGTAATTGCACTTGTAAACAAATATATACGTATATAGCCATGTATCTATGTATCTATGTATCTGTGTATCTGTGTATCTGTGTATCTGTGCATCTGTGTATCTGTGTATCTATCTATCTATCTATCTATCTATCTACCTACCTACCCACCCACCCACCCACCTACCTACCTACGCACGACAAACACACATGCAATGGCAATCTTTGAATTCCAAAGGCTGAAGCAGGCAGAGGCCACGCTCGGCCGAGAAGCACAGGATCCAACCTCCTCCCCTATTTCCCCCCCTTTTTCTGGTTGCCTGGCCCTGTGTGGAGGAAACCAGGGGGTGGTTGCATGCTATGAAGGTCGCTCTGGGAGCCAGCTTTGGGTGCCTGCACCAGCCATGAGCGCGTCCTTCTGCAACTAGCTTGCCGTAAGTCAAACTCTCAGGCGTCCGACCACATGCTTAAAGTCAAACTGAAACCAGTTTGAAACAAAATTAAACTCAAAAACGAGGCCTGAAGCACATGGGCCATGTGTATAAACCTGCCTTTCCTTTGAACCCCCCTCCCCCCAGCAGCGAAGCCGACGCTTCGGCGCTTCGGCGCCGAGGCGCAAGGAGCCTCGACGCCCAGCTCCAACTGCCGCACTTCTCCTCTGCCGCCCAGAAACCCGCTTCACCGGCTCTTTGGGCATGTGTCAACATAGGTTGCCCAAAAATTGAGCCTTCGGTTTTTCCTTTCCCTGTCAATCAAAGGAAAAACAAGGTGCCCTCCCACGCAACACAAACCCGTATATTCTTAGTTGGTTAATGCAAAAAGCCAGGGATTGAAGTCCGCCTGCGACAATTGCCAACATGCTTTCTGGGCGCTCACATGAAGCATCGGCCAGTCTGCAAAGCGAATTTGACTCTGAGTTGCATCAAATCCCTTGCGCCTGCGCGCTGATAGCCGCGTTGTAGCTGACAAGGTCCGGTACAAACGCCAGCTTCAGCACAAGCGACCTCACACTTGCTTGCACGCACGTAAGGGCCCTCCACTGCTGCCAACAGCCCCCCTAGTTCCGGCCATTGGAACACCCGGGGAGAAAAAGAAGAAAAAAACGCATCCTTGTAAATGCTTGAGGAGATTGCTGCAACATGTTCAGTGAACACCCCCACCCATTTTGTTCCTCGGGGGATCCTCGGGGGAACCTTGGCATCCCCTTTGAAGTTGAAAGCGCGGCACCGCCCCGAAAGGCGGGTCAACGCAGTCCTTGCACTTCGCCTTGCATAAGAAGGAAAACAATTGACTGGTGGTTTCCGTTGGATTCTTGCAGTACCGGCTGCAGCAGCTGCAGCGACAGCTCCCAGGAGCCCTCGCTGCTGCTCACAACTGCGTTCATGGTCACCAGGCTGGCCCTCAGGCCTTTGCGCGTGCCCTCAGCCGAACGTGGCATGGTCAAACACTGTGGCTCGGGGCTTCACAAACTGGGAACTCAAGCTTTGCGTGGGGCTATGTCCAGTTAGATTGCAGGATTCGTGGCCATTTTGGCTTACCCCTTTTGCTTACTTTGTGCCTCTTGCAGGCATGGCCTCGGCCAACGCAAGTCATTGCTTCAGGCAAAGCGCGAGCAAGGCCAGGGAGAGATCCCAGCGTCGGATCTTTTCACCTAGGACTTGGATCCAACGCGACGGGCCAGGCAAAAATCGCCCCGGACCCAGAATTAACAAGCTCGAGTTGATTCCTCGGGGGGCGTCCCATTTAGGAGAGGATCCTTCGCTTGGGCCAAGACCGGCTGGCAGATTTCGGACGGCTTGTAATTTGAGGATCCGACTGGCTGATAAGGCAGCATTGTAGGAGATCATGGTCAAGCGCGTGAAGCTGGCGCTCGCAAGTCCCAAAAGCAGCATCGCCCTGAAGCGGGGCGTGTGATGCGGGTGCTGGCAGCTGGGTTTGTCTGAGCATGGGGACGCCACGAAAATGGTGCATGACCTCCGGCTTCTCGCCACCCCCACACAAAGGGTACCCTCAAAAAAGGAGCCCAGAGAAGACGAACAGGCACCCACCCTGTTGACACATCAAATCACACGTGGCCATTTCCGCGCCTCTCCCAGCGGCGTGCGCGCTCGCAGGCGCTGAGCGCCGCATTCAAAGCCACCACAGAGCGGCAAGTTTCCCACCCCGTGCGGGCGAGCAGCACGGCAAAGGCCCACTGCGAGGACCCAGCGCACGCACCTGCCCCACAATGTTATTTGGGGGGGGGGGACCCTGCAGGGGTCGTCAAATGAAACGAACCACCAAACGGTGCCATGTCTTGAGGGGAGGGTTCTCTAGATTTGGAAACGCCCAAATCCATGACAGCCTGCAACGCCCAAGCGAAACATGCGGATACCCCTCTGACTAACATGGAAGCCCCTTTGGAGCATCCGCCAACAGGAGATTCCTCTACAAATCTGAAGGGTTGCGCGTACCCATGTGCCATGCACAAAACACAACACACACACACACAAGCACAAGCACATTGACATGCACGTGCGCGGCTGGCAGACACAAAGCACACCTCTGGCACCTTTATCTTCACTGACTTGTTGGATAGGACATTTCGATTTGTGCATTGGGCAGTGGAACAAAACATGCATGTTTCTTCAACCCGTTCGGCTTTGGCAAGTGAGTTAAAGTTCCCTCCAAGCTGGCAACTACAAAAGAACCTGTTTGATTCTGGTCCATTGCCAACCTGAAAAAGCAACCAAACTAGCAAAGGTCTTCCATTGTTGATGGTATTTAAAGGTTAAGTGTTCGACATTACGCTATTGAGCCTAAGTGCCAAGGGTCCTCCATTGTTAATACCTAAGCGTTCGAGGCTACGCTTGACAGTAAAGGGTTCAAGTGTCAAGCTTCCCCGTTTGATGGACACTTCGGGTCTATTTTACCACCACTTCCTGTGGAATAACCATTTTTCGGGGTTCCTGGCTGCGAATAGACCTCCAAGTCTCCAATTTCCCCCTCCCCCCCTTTTCCCGCACAACCCACCCAGCCCTCCCTCGACTCAACCAACGCGTCCACGCGAGTTCCTCTGGCTCCGGGGCGCTGGTCGCGGCGCAGGTGGCCACCACATCCACCTCCAAGGCGCTGCAGGCCATGCGGTGCACCATGGCCAGCGCCGGCGCCCAGGCGTTGGACTTCTCCATCCTGGGACCCCCAGCGCTGTGGGTTCCGCGGGGGATGGACCCCTGAAATGTGGGGGGGATTTGGGGGCCAAATCCCAAAACGGTTGGCTTCTCCTTGTTCCCTTTACAGCCGCAACAAGAAGGGGTGCCCTGAACAAAAAGCCAGACCCATGTGGCAATGCCTGTTGGTTTCCAGTGCCACAGGCAAAATATTCCTTGAGGTGAAGCCCCGACTGAACCAAAAGAGGGTTGCTTTGTGCGCCATGTTCATCCTGTGGAAAATTTGAAGAAGTGCAGGGCAAAGAGTCGTGGTGAGGGCCGCGCTGGCGGTGAACAAGTGCACCCGCAGACTTTGGGCCGCCACCTGTCCACCGGAACAAGGGCATCCCAGAAAAGTTGCCCTCCCGATGCCCTACCTTTTTTGGCAGGGCTTCCTGGGCCAACACACGGCCAAAAGGAGTGGGCTTCCTTGCAATGCATCTGGTGAGGCCTGAAAGGTGAGCAACCCAAGACCTGGCCTCATGGTTGTCGGAAAATGGGTTCGGTGACCCATCACTTTAAGTAAAGGGAACTTGGCCATGTTGTCTCAGGTGGCCTAGCTTACCCGACTGCCAAGCAAGCCGAACGCGCAAGCGTCGGCTTGCGGGTGCCAGCACTGAAGTCCATGCAACTTCCTGCGGCTTTGCAGCCGTGACGAGTCCACTAGGGATGTTGTTTCAAATGTTCAAGGAAACAAAACGCCTAAGGCAATATCAGGGGTGGGAAGCAGCTGCTTCAGTACTTGGTAAATCTTGGTGGACTGGCCAACTGGTGTGCCCGGCTTTTTGCAGGCCAAGTACTTCGTGGCACAGGCCAAGACGCATGGGGCGCTTCAGCGCTGACAAAGCATGCCGAAAGCAAGCTCGCTTAAAGCCATCGCTCTATGTCATTGACAGGCCTGCTCCAACAAATTGAGGCTCGCATCCCAGCAGCTTCGGCAAGACTTTGCCAGGCTGCCCATGGAGAACGCATCACAGCGAACCTTGGCACGCTGTGAACCGCAAAGACCGCGTGTACAAAAACAAGTTGCGCTTGGGATGAAGATGAGAAACCTCCCGCCATGAAAGGTACTCAAAATTCACGTTCATACATTCCCTCTCAAAAAGCTGACCAGTTGTTTTGTGTTCTTTGCCCGGCCTTTTGGTATGACTCCAACAGTTGAACAACAGTCTAGTTGGGCCAAGGCCACCAAGGCGCCCCTCTGCTTTGAGCCAACCGTGGCATGCAAAGCACCTGTTGCCAGCTGCTCTGCTTCTCCATGCTGGTGGACATCGCGTTGTATGAGACGGTACCCTTGGCATAGACAGCCATGGGGCCAGTCGGATTGCTGGTAGGGGACCCTAAAATTGGTGGATTTCCTTGTGGTTTCCCTTCAAAATTAAAAAGCAAAGGGGTACCCTCATAACTTGAGGAGCGGGTGAACGAAAGCTAGCAGTTGTTGCATGAGATGGGTCGGTGACAGAGTGGATTCATAGGTAGCTTGTGTACAACGAGAGGCCCGGCAAGATTCGTAGGATGCGACACGCAAACGCACATGGTGGCGTGGCAAACCTTGAAAAAAGAAAACAACGAGAGGCGTCAGAAGCTGTCTTAAAGCACCTCTGGGTTCTGCATGCAGCGTGTGCAAAGATTCTTGCGAGGTGGTTTACCGAGAAGACTGAGGTCTCAAATGAACAAGCTGAATCGGTGGAACATGTAAAAGTTCGTAGCACCAAGTCCAAAACGGGCAAACCGAGACTGCTGAACACTGAGCCACTGCCCGGGGGGGGGGGATGGACCAGGGAGGAATCGAGCCTGAGACCCGGGGGGGGGGGGTCTAAATAATTGATGTTTTTCAATCTTTTCGGCTCAAATAATTGAAAAAATCAATCTTTCGGCATTTGAGCCCCTTACCTTGCTTACGCAAGGAGAAACTTCAGCTAGCTAAAGCTAGCTTTCGTGAAAAGACACACCCAATTTAGGATTTACCCTCATCGACATGGAGTCCAAGCCTCCGTGTTAGATGGGAGGGTAGGATTCCAATCTGTTCACTCCCTACCGTCATCACTTGCCCTCCCATCGACTAACAACAAACCTGGCTGGAGCTCCGGCAACGTGAAACGGAACCGTGGGCCCAAATGTAAGAAGTTACCACACAACAGGCACAAGCCAGCCCTCGCCCCTTCTGTCACTTCTGTGCTGAGCTTGCGACGGGCTGGACCTGCCACCGTGGAATATTGCTGAGGATCGCTACCGCGCGAGGCCAGGTGACGGCGCCTTCGCGGGTCCAAACCCCTCCGCCAATCCCCTAGCCCTCCGTGTTTCCCCCAATGAAGGCCCTGAGGCCTGATGAAGCCCTGGGAAAACCAGGGGAGGGCCTGGCGACAACAGGCTGGAGAGTTCAACCGGCTGGTTGCATGCCACAAGACTGACCCTCTTGGCTTCTTTCGCTTGGGTCCATTAAGGTGACATTCTAAGAGGTAGCTTTCAGATGAAAGCGAAGCCAGCCCCCCAAAGTATGTTCTGAGAGGACTGGCAAAATGCCGTACCACCTGAGACCCAGTCAACGATCAGCGGGAACCGGCCTGAGCGCGTCTCGGCCAGGGCTGTCAGAGCCATGTTGCTGAGAATGAGGCTTGGTCGCATGCTGCTGGACCACCCCTCGCCAGAGATTGGACATGATCCAAGTCATGGTAACCCACCCACCCACCCACCCACCCACCCACCCACCCACCCACCCACCCACCCACCCACCCACCCACCCACCCACCCACCCCAACACCTGGCCAGGGCCATTTTCATACTCCCTCGTAAGGCAAGCAGCTTGCTACTGAAGTGGGCAGTTTATCCCATGATCCGAATGCTCAACCTGCCTGGCTCAGCAATGCCATGGATCCGCGCCACTCTCTGGCGATGCCCATGCTTTGCATGAGGCCAAGTGCCGCCAGAGACTGCTGCGCATGCTGTGCCTTTGCGCTGGGCAACTGTTTTGCAACGCGCATGAAGCCTGGACAAGTTCGGGCTCTCACCGGTGCATGGTAACTTCATGACATGGACCATGGAACAAACATGAGGAGCAGGGGAGGCATCAATCAAATGACTGTCACATAATGTCGACCCCGGGCTAATAAACTTGGCAGATGAGTAGGTTCCCCCCAGTGAAGGATTCCTTCTGACATAGGGCACCTTCTATAAACCAACCAAGGGTTTACATTTTGGCATTGGATCGCAACAACCAATGATGCTGGAAGCTAAGACCGTCACGATGCACCGATTGACAATCGACAAAGCCGCACTCCATGTGCACGAAGCGAGGTAAGACACAATGTTGTTGCACCTCGGGCTCGAAGCGAAATGGGTTTGCCCTTGTTTAGTTGCAGTTCATGAAATTCTCGCGCTGGAAAGGCGGCGCAACTGTACTGAAGGAGTTTGGGAAGGCTATCATCTGGCTCCCTGTCTACTTCCAATGACTACGTACGTGGAAGCTGGGCTGTTCAAAATGGAGAGTTGGCCAACTCTGCTTGTTAACGAGAGCATTCGATATATCCAATGTGTCCCTGACTTAACTGGGAATTTGGCAACCCCCCACCCCAACATGTTGGTGAGTAACAGAGGGGCGAAATGCTTCCATAACCAAAGGATTGAGAGGAAAACCTCCTCTCCCACCATGCGGGGTAGTCCTTTCAACATCTGCTTTGGGAAAAGATGGGAACACCGTTTTGGCTGGGTCGCACTGTTGTTCAACAAGGCAATCCAAAAAAGCCTATCCTGCCACCATTGACGTGCACCTGTGCAGTTTCCAAACGAAAACTCGTCTTTCAGGGGCAACTGGGGAACCATCACGGGAACCCCAATTAAAGCAGGGAGGAACCGAACCTACTTCTGTGGTGCCCTTTTAGAAATTGGCTTTGGGCGCTGAATTTGCCATTGAAGCCCTCAACTGGCGGGTTTCTCTCCATTTAACCCCCCCCAAACCAAAAAAGAACACGTCCCATTTCTCATTTCCTTGTAGGCCCAGCAAACCACCACCCCTTGCCTGAGCCTAGAAAGCACCCATGTCTTGGCCATTGAGCTCGGGCACTGGGCCAGGTCTCGCAACGCGAGAGTGGCCGCCCAGGCGACGCGTGGCGGTGCCGCCCGTTTTGGGCGCGCCTGGCTTAGGTAACAGCTATGGATGAAGAACCCTCCATTGGTGGCTTGGATTCAGACCTTGGGTTGGTGGCAACTAGGTAAGCCTCTGGTGGCTTGGATTGGTTGGGAGTTTAGGGGCGCCGTCCCCACTCGGTTTCAACAAGGCTCTCAAAGGTTCAACTTGGGACCATGACCGATAAATCTATCCTTCTTCTCAAACTGAAACTTCAAGGTGGCGGTCCCTGAAGCGGACAAATCTCACAAGTCCTGCAAATGGATTAACAGGGGGCCGACCTTTTTGGAGGAACTCCTGTAGAATAATCCTCCAAATACGCTTCCTTAGGTGCAATGTTGGGGCGAGGAAGTACATCGCGACCGGTGAAAATCACAATAAAAGCTCAAGCTCCTCTATCTATTTGTGGGGGAATCTACTTTCGAAGACCTTTCTAGGGATGTCATGGGATTTCCTGATCATTGCAGGGGGGGGGGGGGGACTCCTGCAAATAATTGCCTGGAACTCAGCAAGCGTGTCCAATTTCAACAATAGTCTGCCGACCGAAAACACAACGCAAAGGAGTCACGCGAAAGTGATCTGCAGAACGGCCGGGTCCGAGTTTCAAAGATCTTTTTCGGCCTGCCCCACGGGCGTTCTTTCCGCGCGCGGCTCCGGAGCCCGCGCCCATAACGTCATGAGCCATGTTTCAGGGAAGGCCGCCGGCCGAACATCCGATCGCCCAGCAGCGCAGTGGGGCAAAGGGCTCCCTACCCCGGTCTTGAGCCAAGCTCAGAACGGAAGCTCTCACATGGGCCAATGGGAATGTGTCTGTGCAGCGGCTTGGGCGGAATTCTTCCACATTTGGGCACCTCAAGCGCCCCATCGACATATTCCCAACTCCAGCGCAACTTGTCTCAGACATCCCGCCACTCTCTGGGGCCCCTACCCAGTTGTTTCCGAATGCTTGGACCGGACGATGCCTTGCCAACTTCCCGCGGAACACATGTATAAACAAATGGCCAGGGTTCCATTGTTTGATTGGGCCCTCAAGGTGGGCTTTACCACAAAGTAGGTTATGTCCCCAACAGGAAAAATTGGGTTTCACTCTACCTTGGGAAAGTCCAACCAAAATGGAGCTCTGCCACTGAGCTTTCCACAGCACGCTGGACAGGGCCGCCATCTCGGAACCTCGGAGCGCCGAAAACTCACTCACGACGGCCGTTGGTCTGATTTCAGGTCCCGGCTGCCAGCCCAGTTGCCTTCCCGCCCTGTGGTTTGCATGTACCTGCGGACAGCGCAGTCTGAGCCGCCGTGTGCTCCCGTTCGCTGGGCCACTCGTCCGCGTGTAGCAGCACAAACTCGCACTTCTGATCCAAGGTGAAGCTTGATACAACCTCCCGCACCTCTGCCGCATGGCGTTTCGTCACTATCACTGATTGGTGGCCTGCCACCACCCTGCAACACAATACCCAACGCTCGCCCAAGGGCCTGTTCAAAGACATACGGGTGTCTTTTCTTTTGAGGCTACTGTACCCCTTTTTGGTAGGTGTTAAAATGTGTTAAAGGGAAACCAAAAGGGACACCACGCATCTGTTTTTGTTTGGGGCGGGCGTCCCTTTGCTCCAAAAGGGAGTGCCCCCAGGTAAACCACACATTTTGTTTGGGGGGTTCAGTTTCCCACTCATTGGAGATTTGGTGGTAAAGGGGGGGTTCAAATAAAAAATTAAACCACCACCTAAGGTTTACCTGAGGAGGGGTCCCTTACAAGAAACCAAAAAAAAAACGACACCCCTCTTGCAACCTCTGCCCATGGCTTCTGCGCGCTCCGAACCGCGAAGTCAGAGCACCGGACTCGGCTGTAGAGGCCCTGGCGGTCCCACCTGGCCGAGAAAACAACATGCGAGAAGACGGAAACCGCCACTGGCAGCCCTAGAGGATGGGGAAGGTCTCCTCATACGGTTGTATGGTGTTTTATTTGTCCAGTCCTTCTGGGTTTGTACTTTAAATGGCTTAGCCAATTAGGAATCAACCATTTTGGAGACCCCCAGTTTGAGAAACTTGCTGTGGATGGTTGCGAAATCCACAAACGCACCATTTCTCAGAAACCCAGGAACTTCTCATTCGATTCCCCAAAACAAATACCAACACACGTTATGGTTTCAACCATGGTTTCAAAGTGGTGGTGGATTTCGTCCATCCATCCGCAGTATTTCCAGCATAAACGCTTCGGCCCTTCGGCCCGCCAAAAGGACACTCAAACAAAGATTGGCAACCCCAAAGGCGATGTGTGAAACCACCAAAAGAGGAAACAACAAAACACCTGCAGAATAAGGTGAGTGTACATATGTTTGGGGAAGCGATGTTTGGTTGGGATTGTGAGACCTGGGCAATTTTGATTGTTCCTCTGAGTACATAAGAACATTGGATTGTCGCCCCGGTTTAAGGTCCAAAGCCTAGCCCCGGAAAAGGAAACAAGACACATGCTTACCATTGCACAAACAAACGCCCCGGATGTTCAACAGCTGGAGCATGGCACAAACAAACCGAGGGATCATTTGGCCATGCACATGCTTTGACCATAGATTCTGCAAGTCTTCCTATAATTCCACAAGCTGAATCAAAGGAGACCCCAGGCAAAGGACCTTTATCATGGTGAGCTGGTTATACTTTCAGGTGACCTCGCCACTTATGCAAATAGACGATAGCCCCAAATGGAACTCCTGAATGCTTTTTTACCACCGGCCGCGTTCAAGCCACCACCCGCAGTCAAGTGCGCCCGCAGCGCCCTGGGATGTTTGCCGCCAGCTCCGTCTGGTTGCTGGATACAAACTCCTCGGCCATGTCCTAGGCTCGGAAGGACTTCGACGCCCGTCAGGTCTCGGGTCAGGTCTCGAGATATCGGTCGGAAGGAGAAGCTTTAAAACAAGATGCATGCTAAACCAAAGAAAAAACACCAACAAACGGCTTTGGCACAGGATCTCAAGCGGTTGCAAGTCTGCAAGCCTGCCGCCTAAGCCCAAAGGTGGGGTGAGTTGGAGGCGGGTTGCTGGAAGTTCTTTGGACAACTCATTGCGCTCTTGGCATTGGATCTGTTGACCCCGGATTGCCAACAGATCTACAAGAATCTCACCACTCATGGTCCGCTCTTGTAACACCCAGCAGGCCCAAAAAGAATTACCAAATCGAACTGCGTGACACACCTTTACTCTCGTGGAAATAGCGTGGACCTTCCCAAACCAAAAAAGGACACACAGGCGAACCTCCTTGTGCACACCCTCTTTGTGGATTCCATGTTGGTAAGCAGGGGGGCTGCCCAAAAACGAGGTAAAAGAATTGGCTCTTGTGGCTCATAGGGGGAATCAAAGAAAGAGTTCTTCAGGCATTTTTAGGAACTTCAGGCGTGGCTGATTGGAACCATCGCAAACCAAACACGCAACTTCCAAGCGATGGGACAAGTCATCTGAATCGGCGAGCTCGTTCTAGATCTGGAGCTCACAACTCTGAAGGTTGGTCGATCGTCCTTTTCAGGAATCACTATCATCTCCATTGTGCTTTGCAATTATCTGAGAAGGAAAGAGTGGTGGGCAGTACCCACATTGACCCATTGTTTGAACATGTTTTAACACCACCTGGTCACCTGCTGTCGATTCAATCAGTTGGGATACTTGCACAACTGTTGCAACCAACCCTGAGATGTATAGCTACCCAAAAGCTCCCGACTACTGCCGGGGCCTTCCGAAACAAGCCCGTGATTTTCGTATGCACGCGCCTATGCGTGTGTAATTGTAGTTGTGCATGGGGTTGTTGTTTGTTTGTGTGCGTGTGCAACAGGGGTCGGTCGGACCCTCCCGGTCGAAGGGTCTGTGAGCTGGATAGGACCATTTGGACCATGCCCCCCGAAACCAAAAAGAAGCAGATGCAGGTGGCTGAGGACTCAAGACTCTCAAAGGCGAACAGGGGGATATTTCGCCTAATTCGCCAGCATCTGCACATGCAGAGCAGCACATATATATATATATATATATACATATACACACACACATATATATATATATATTATGTATATATATATATATACATGTTTACCCGTGTTTTGCAAGCACTGGAGCTGTAAAACGACATCCCTGTGAGCACACACCCCGTTCTGAACCATCGAAAACAAAGCGCTTGGCCGCCCGAGCCGCCGTAAAGAGCTCTTCCAGGCGCCACATGAGCGGCGCTCGAAGCTGCTCCCCCCGCGCGCGCAGGGCGGCCACCTAGGGGTCCGACCACAAGGGGCCTCGCACTTCCCGGGTGGATGGCCGCAAAACAAAGTAGCCATACTTGTTATTTGCCACCAAGCTAGGCTGGAATTAGGACCCCGGCAAATATACATATATATATATATGTATTGCATGTTTAGTGGAAAACAAAGGGAACCCCAAAAAAGCAAAAAAGCAAATCCAAAAGGGAAGTAATTCTGGGGATGGTCCTTGCAACAAGTATAAAGTCCAGGAACTCGGGAAGTGTTCAAGCTGCATTTTTCGTCACCAGGCGAATGCTAAAAAAACTCGCTCGGCATCGAAAGAACTCCCGAATTCTGGAAGAAGTGTGAGAGGAGGCACAAGAAACTGGGTGGGGACGAGTATGCCCAGCACATTTGGGGCCAGTTTTGACATCATCCTTAGCAGCTGACTTTGTAAAGCAAGTGGCTTTGGATGTTGTGATTCTTAAAGGGAACACTGGGGTGAAAACTCCAACCATGTAAATGATGCTCAAGGGTTGCCAATTAAACATCCCATCCAGGTTCTGCTCTTCGACCTTTTATGTGACCCGCCTCCGCGATGAACTCAGCCTCGTCCAAGATGGCCTCGCGCCCAGGAGCAACACCGTCTGATGCTCAAGGATGGCTTCCTGGCTTCCCTTCAAAATCAAAATCATCCCTCAGGGCACCAACTCTAAAGGAACCACGGCCATTGGTCGCAAGGCTTCCGCGCCATACTCTGGGCTTCCGCGCCATGCGTCGGAGCAAGGATGCTCTGTCGCGAATCGACAGGTCCTGCCGAATTTAAGGCACACCCAGTGCTCAACTTCCCTCTTGGTGGTTTGGAGCCAGGGCTTTGTAGGTTGAGGGTTGGTTTCACATTTACCCAACAGTTCAAATCCCCACCACCAACTCAAGGGTACCTGACAGGCTGCAACAGCAAGACACAACTTACTTTTTCACAGTAGGGGCTGCAAGTGCCTAGTGCCCAGTGAGGTCCATCGGGGTCCATGGGAGAGCTTCCTTTGCGAGGCGGCAACCATAGGGATCTTCAACCTACATTACTTAGGTTGACTATAATCTTGCTTTATAAGCGATACAGGGAGGAGTTGTCATTCCCACTCAATATGTCTTGGGTTCTCAGGGAATATTCGAAGGGGCTTGGGAATGCGAAGGGGGCCCCTTCAATGAAACAGAGCATGGATGTTACGGATCATCCCCTCATTCCCTACTTCAGAGGCTCAAAAACTTGCTGGTCCTCCGGCTTCCTACCTCAGCTTTCGTCCCAACAGTTGGGTGGTTCAGAGGCCTTATTAAGGCCATGTCACGGTTGTGCGAGGGTTAGGGGGGCGGAAGGGGGAGGGGGGTGATCACCAAAAACCTGGTGGCCGCCGGCCTCCCAGCGGCTCAGATCACCGAGAGCCTCTGCCTGAAAAAAATCACCGAGAACCCGTGGACCCGTGGTGGACACTTGACACCACGCGCATCCATCTGAAACCCCGGCAGCAGAAATTTTGTTTATTCATAGAGTGGGGGCCCCTCCAAAAGTCGTCTGAAACCCCGGTAAAACCAGGGGCACACCCAGATTCATGCAAAGGGGTTTATTGATCCGGGGTCGACAATATGGCACCCAGGCAATTCCCAAGCTCAGGCGCAGTCCCATGCAGGTGACCTGGCGATTAGCAAAACATCTCCTGCCTCTGCTCTCTCCTGTCTCCTGCCTGGCCGGCAGGTCATATATGCGAAACCATTGGTCAGAACGTGATCAACGCGCCTGTCGATTGCCTTGCCCGGAATCATTTCGAACCGGGTCATTGCCTCATCCGGAGCTTCCAGGTTCCGGGACGGAGGCAGCTGTCCGCTTGTCAGCGCCTTGACGCAGGCCACTGCCTCGACAGCACCGGCTGCGCCGAGCAGGTGCCCGAACATGGATTTTGACGAGGACACGGCAAGGTCCTTGCCCCTTCCATCAAACAAGGTCGTCAATGCGGCAATCTCCGCCGCATCGCCAACCGGTGTTGATGTGGAATGCGCATTGACGTAGCCGATTTCGGCAGGTGTCAGTCCGGCAGATGAAAGTGCCTGGCGCATCGCACGCAAGCCTCCCTCGCCGTCCGGTGACGACGCGGTAACGTGGAATGCATCAGCCGTCGTACCGTAACCCTTGAGTTCAACCAGAATGTTGGCGCCACGCGCCTTCGCATGCTCCAGTTCCTCCAGGATCAGGATGCCCGCGCCTTCACCCATGATGAAGCCGTCACGATCCTGATCAAACGGACGGGACGCATGAGACGGGTCGTCGTTACGCTTGGAGGACATGGCCTTGGCCGCGCAAAAACCGGCATATGAAACCTTGTCGATACAGGCTTCCGTACCACCGGCCACCATGACGTTGGCCTCGCCCGAGCGGATCAAGCGAGCGGCATCGCCCAGCGCCTGAAGGCTGGCTGCACAGGCTGTCACCGGTGCGCCGATCGGTCCTTTCAGACCAAAGCGGATGGAGACCTGGCCAGCAGCCAGATTGGCGAGGAATGACGGCACCAGGAACGGCGAGGCCCGGCGGGGCCCCTTCTCGTCGACCAGCCTGGTCCCGGCGGTCATGGCCGGAAAGCCGCCGACGCCGGTGGCGATGATCGTGCCGGTCCGTTCTTTTTCCTCGACGGTTTTTGGTTCCCAACCGGAGTCTGCGAGCGCTTGCTGGGCCGCTCCCATGGCAAAGTGAATGAACCTGTCGGAGCGCCTTTGTTCCCGAGAATCGAGAACCTCATCGACGTCGAAGCCGAACTCGTCCTCATCCTTTGACGGCACTTCGCCAGCAATCTGGCAGGCCAGGTCGCTCGGATCGAAATGGCTGATCCTGCGGATGCCATTCGCGCCCGACGTCAACCTGCTCCAGAATGCGTCAACCCCGGTTCCGAGGGGAGACACGATCCCCATTCCCGTTACGACTACCCGACGCATGTTTACCTCACTTTGCTCATGTCAGATGACGCCCTGTCACGTGTTTCGTGTTCAAGCGGTGTTAAAGGTCCTTTAGAAAGAGATTCAAGGAACCATTGTCAAAGTTGCGAAAGCCTCTGCAACACATTGATTGTTTTCAGGAACTCCTCCCTGCCCAGAAGGGTCTCCACATCTTTCTGCGCCTGGCGCCAAAGCGGCAGGGCACTCTCCAGCAGCGCTTCGCCCTTCCCGGTCAGATGATGGTTCTTTCCTCTCGCATCACCCGTACGCGCCGACACGACGAGGCCCTTTCGATCCAGAAGCGCGATGTTCCGGACCAGGGTAGTACGATCCATGGAAAGCCTTTCTGCCAGTTCGCCCGTGGTTTCGTCGCGCGCCTGCCTGATGGCGACCAGCACTGAAAACTGGCCTGCGGTCATCCCGACCTGTCGGGCCAGACGATCATAGTGACGACTGACCGCCCGGGCCGCTTTGCGGGCGTTGTCAAGGACACATTGGGAAAAGTCATCGTCTTCCATGGCCCTTTGTGTGCATATACACACCGAATGTCAAGTTCCTTAATCCCCAACGCTAACCCTTCGTAATGTCATCAATATTTTGCGTTTTGCCGCGAAGCAGTTACGGTGCCTGAACAACCGGAACGTGAGGAGGTCAAAATGGCAGATGCGGTTCAGGCTGTCGAAGACATGAAAGCGAAGATCCAGGAAAACTGGGGCTGGTTCCTGGCACTCGGCATTGCGCTTGTGATCGGCGGAATCATTCTGATTGCCGCCCCGCTGGCGACATCCATTGCTGTCACAATCCTGATAGCAGCCGTGCTATTCGTAGGCGGACTTGTTCAGATCTACAATTCATTCAAGACACAGGGTACGTCGAGCTTTCTGTGGAACCTCATCACGGGCATCATCGCAGTCATTGGCGGTATCGTGATCTATTTGAACCCGCTTGCCGGTACATTCGCACTTACGCTTGTGATCGCGGCGATCTTCGTCGCCCAGGGTGTCAGCCAGATTCTGCTGGCCTACAAATTGAAGCCGCATGAAGGCTGGGTATGGGTTCTGATCGCCGGTATCGTTTCACTTGCAGCCGGGGTCATGATCTGGATGGATCTGCCAGGTTCGGCCGCCTGGGCACTTGGCCTAATCGCCGGTATCTCGGTGCTCGTCAACGGCTGGAGCTACATCGCAATCGCGCTGGCCGCGCGCGCCGCCAAGGGCTGAGTTACCTGCGAGAGTCCAGTAACTTGAAACGTGTTCACGCCTGGCAAAAAACCTGTTGCCGGGCGTATTTATTGATGTCATTTTGCCATCGAATTCATCTGAAGGCGCCGCCTTTGAACGGGTTACAACTGGATGCTCCATATCCTCGGGCGGAATCCCGGAAATCCGCATAACAAAGCCTATTGGTGGTGGCCGCCTCCCGCCTGCCGTTGATGAGCCGCGTCCTCCGGACGCGAATTTTTGTTTCACTTTCAAAAATCAACGGAACTCAACCATGACAACCGCAACTCTTCGCGGCGGCGACCGCGTCGTGAATGTCTGCTGGCCAAATGGAACCAGCGCGGACTTTCCCTTTCTCTGGCTTCGGGACAATTGCCCGACGGGCTTTCATCCCGACACGAGGGAGCGCCAGTTCGACCTGACAAGCATTCCTCTCGGATTGAGTGTCGGCAATGTTTCGCTCGAAGATGGCGATATTGTCGTGACCTGGGACGGGGAATCTCACACCAGCCGATTTGATCCGGGCTGGCTATACGATCACCGGCCCGGCATAGGACTTCTGGACCCGGCCCAGGTGGATGCAACGCTCTGGCGCGCCGACTTTTCACCGGCCGATCTTCCTCGCGCGACATCAAGCGATCTGACGTCAAGCGACGCACTTTTGCTGGAATTTCTGCTGGAAGCCAAGAAAACCGGACTTGCCATCGTTGACGGCATGGCACACGACAAGGATGCCGGAATGGCGATGGCACGGCGTATCGGCTTTCTCAGAGAAACAAATTTCGGCACGACGTTCGAGGTCATGTCGAAGCCAAACCCGAACAATCTTGCCTATACGTCCCATGCCCTGCCGCTTCATACGGATCTTGCCAACCAGGAACTGCCACCTGGCTTCCAGTTTCTGCATTGCCTTGCCAACGAGGCGGAAGGTGGCGGGTCGACATTCTGTGATGGATTTGCCATCGCCAACGACCTTCGCAATGACGAGCCGGAAGCCTTCCGTCTGCTGTCCGAAACGCCTGTCCCCTTTCGCTTTCACGATGAGGACTACGACATCCGGCGCCATCACACGGTGATCGATCTTGATCTGTTCGGAAACATGCAGGAATTGCATTTCAATGCCCATCTTGCGGGAATTTTCGACCTGCCGGCCGACAAGATGGAGCCTTACTACACTGCGTATCGCAAACTCATGGAGATGACCCGGTCAGAAAGATACGTGATGACCACACGTCTGCGGGGCGGAGAAATGGTGATTTTCGACAATCGCCGCGTCCTGCACGGTCGCGCCGCATTCGACCCGAACACCGGATTCCGGCATTTGCGTGGCTGCTACGTCGACCGAGGCGAGTTCGACAGCCGCATTCGGGTTCTGAGCCGGTCGCAGGGTTGACTGCACCATAGCGACCCATGGAGTTGCGAAGAGGTTCGGCATTCCCGGACCTCTTTGCTTTCACGCGAAAATTTTGGCCTTTTCGTTATCGGAAAGTGCCTTCCACTCTCCTTCCGCCAAACCTTCCAACCCCAGCGCGCCAATCCGGCTGCGCCTGAGTTGCGCCACGTGGTTACCGGTTGCGGCAAACATGCGGCGAACCTGGTGATAGCGGCCCTCGTGCAGGGTCAATCGGGCGGTCGTGTCGTCCAGGACTTCCAGTTGGGCAGGCTTCAGCGGCTTGTCTTCGCTTTCAAGCATCATTTCGCCGGAAGCGAACAAAGCGGCTTCATCCCCCTTCAAGGGACGATCCAGAGCGAGTTCGTAGACTTTGGGAACATTCGATTTCGGCGAAATCACCTTGTGAAGAAACGTGCCGTCATCGGTGAAAAGCAGCAGTCCCGATGTCTCCTTGTCGAGACGACCAATAGACGACAGTGCAGGCTTGCGGGTACGAAACCGGTCCGGCAGCAGATCGTAGACCAAACGCCCGTGATCCTTTGTCGAACAGGTATATCCGACAGGTTTGTTCAGCAAAAGCACGACGCCCTGTGCCGGGTCGAGTGGCTCGTCGTCGAACAGGACGTCCTCATGCGCCGTCTTGCTGTCTGGCTTCAGCCTGTTGCCGTCCCTGTCCGTTACCCAGCCATTGCGGATCGCCAGCTGCATTTCCTTGCGGCTGCCGTAGCCGAGATTGGCGAGGAGTTTTACGAGCCGCATTCTAGCGCCTTCCCTTGCCCTTGACCGCGCGGATAACCTTGTAGCCGCCCTCGTCAGCCAGTTGCCTGACGTCTGCAAATACCTCGGTCAGTGTCTGTTCGTAAGGCAGGTGACGGTTGGCAACCATGAAGAGTTCGCCTCCCGGGCGCAAACCCGCTGCTGCGGCCCGGATGAACCCCTGACCGACATCAGCGCGATCCGCCCTGCCCGCCTGGTGAAACGGCGGATTGGAAACGATGAAGTCGTAAGGACCCTCAATCCCCCTTGTCACGTCGCACCAGAAACCGTTCAGACGTCGCTTGCCCTTGAAGCCGCCAAGGTTCTGCTCCGCAAGGTCGAGTGCGCGTTTTTCAGCTTCATAAAGATCCATTGCGGACACTTTCGGGGCCTTTTCCAGAACTGTTCGCGCGAGGTAGCCAAAGCCCGCCCCGAGGTCGGCTCCCTTTCCCTTGAGTGTATCCGGCACCAGGTTGCCAAGGATCTTCGAGGCCGGATCGACGCGGTCCCAGGCAAACAGGCCCGGGCGGCTGACATACGCTCCGTCCAGCACCGGCCGAGCAACATCAATGGCCAGCCAGTCTTTCAGAAGCGCCTGGTTGACGCTGTCGGCATGAGAGGTGGCCCAGACGACACGGCATTTGTTCTTCGAGAGATTTTCCGTATTGCCGAGAAGATCGGCAAGATCCCTCTCCAGCGTCCTGGCGCCTTCGGTGTTGGGGGCACTGGCGATCACGATACCGCCGGTTGTTACCCTGGAAACAGCCTCTGCCAATTGCGCCCGCGCTTCCTGTCTTTGACGGCCGGGGAGAACAAGCACGGCATCGAATTTCCCTTCCCCAGGCTCGGCGCTCACCTTCAGACCCGCCTTTTGCAGGGCATCGCGATCGGGTGCGAAACTTTGAACGCACAGAAGATCCAGTCCATTCAAGGCATTCAAGGCTAGGCCATAACGGGCACGCAGAAACAGGACCTTCGCGCCTGGGTGAAGTTCAATATTCTCCGTTTCCAGAGGAAGGATGAGCGTGTCGAGCGCGGGATCGGACATCAGGGACCAGGTTTCCTATTCAATGCGTTGCAGCGCTCATAGCGCCCGGAGCACCGTCCGTCAAAAGGTCCCGTCCGATTTGAACACCTCGCCGTCGACCAGCAACGTGAGCGGGAGGGAGCGTCCGTCTTCCGCAATCGCGACTTCCAGCAGGACCCGACTGGTATCGAGCTTTTCAATCACCCGTCCCTCGCCCTCGGGCAAAAAGAAAGCATCGATGCCATAGTCTACCCAGATCTTGTCATCTGAAACCGACGTGACAGTGCCTACGATGACGAGTTCTCCTGATTGCCTCGGTGTTTGCGACATCGAGACGGGCTGAGCAGAAGCCGTGCCATCGCGCGCAAGCTCAACGTAAACCGTGTGACCGGACTTGACGGTGTCCGCGCCGGGAAGGTCCGTGGACAAACGTCCAATCGCGAGGTTTATGATCACATAGTCGCCGCGCAAGAGATCTCTTGGATCCACGGGGACAAGTTCCAGCGAAACCACCGTTCCTGAAACCTGCACCTGAAGCCGGTCAACCATGGGAATCGAGATCAGTGCGAGCTGTATGAGTGCCAGCAGCCCCCAGCGCAGGTAGGCGAACCGGGAGTTGGATGGCCGGGCAGGTTCGTCGGGAACGGAAGCAATACTCATGTCAGGGCCTCCTTGCGATCAGGCCCGGCGTCCGGAGCATCTTTGCCTTTCCTGAAGAGACGTGCGAGCCACAATGCCACACCAAGCAAGAGGACCCCTGCAACGAGGAAAAACACCGACTGGCCCAGGAGAGATCCGATTGTAACCTGCAGGAGCCAAAGCGCTACTGCGGTCAACCCGAGATAGGCACACAGCATCCAGAACCGGTTGTTGAACCATGTGGCGAGGGCGCAGAGCCCCACAAGCGAGCCCATGCTGATGGCAGCGAGCACAAGGCTGTTCGCCGTAAAGACCGGCATCAGGACAGCAAGAACCGCGAGCCCGATCGCACCAAACAGTGATTGAGCCTTTGTTGTCTTGTAGGAAAGAACAAAGCCCGAGACGAGCAAAAACACAGCAAGCAGCAGTGGCAACAGCGCCGGGATTTCCCAAATGCCGGCCACAGCGACGCGCTTTGAAATCTCTGGAACCAGGACAAGTGCTGCAGCAATGAGCGCGCAGAGAACAAGAAAGCCTGCATCTTGCAGGGATCTTCCCATGAGCCAATAGCCATGACCACGAGATGGAAGGTTGCTTGACCATTTGACAAACAGGTCTGCGACCGGATCGAGCAGCACCATGATCGCCGCCAGGCCTCCTGCCCCAGCGAGCGCCATGGCAAGGATATAGCCGTCGTCCGCAGACAGGATCTCGGCGGATTCCGCGAACCACCTGCCGTAAGTGACCCAGACAAGGCTGATCGCAAGCCAGCGCGACAGGCGCGCAGGATGAACAAGCGGATGAGCGAAGACAGCGGCCAGGATCAAAAGGCCGATGAGATCCTGCAACAGGACAGCTTCACCCAGCTCCGCGCGTGTGAACTGCCACATGATTGCAGCGATCGCCGCTATGACAATCGAGGTTTTCGATCCTGTCAGCCAGGCTGCAGCCAAGCCTCCGAGGCAAACAAGAAACGCTCCACCGGCCCAGTCCGAGGGCAGATGAAAAATCTGCCCCACCAGGGCCATTCCTCCGACGAAGACCAGCGTTGCAAAGCCTGTCAGCAGATCCGCGATACCTCTCCGCCCATTCGCCGCTGCTTTTGCCGCGGCGCCGTGACTGGCAAGCAGGAGGCAGGCAATACCGATCAGTTTTACCGTTTTCGGGATCGCGGCCCAATTGGCTGCGATAAACGCAAAGAGTGCCAAGGCAACACAGACCATGCCGATACCGGCCAAAGCCATCGGCAACCTGGATCGCCCGTCTTCCTGATCCTGTTCGCGCAGGATGGCTGCGGCACCGGACGAACTGACCCAGCCTTTCGAGACCCAGACCTCCAGGTCATCCTTCAGTCTTTTCTTGTAGACCCAGTCGAACATCAGTTTCTGCCAGCCGCCTGCAATTTCAAGGATGGACACCTTGATTGTCTGGCCAACCTGATCTGTTTCAGCAAGAGCATATACGTCTCCGAGAATTCTCAAGTGGCATCATCGTCATGACTTCAGCCCTCTGGTGGGTCTTTTCAACTCACAAACCAGGCGGCCAACATCGCATAAAAAAGAAAACTGCGTCCATTTCCGGGCGATGACCGGCATCTTATCGAGCAAATCCATCTACAAACGCACAACAGCGGCAAGCGCCCGTGCCGGCGCCGGGCACACATTGCTGTCCGCCCGCCACGATTAAATTGCCATCTGGTGAGGGTGGGACTTGTAGCTCCAGCGGTTCTTGGTATTGTGATGCATCCAATTTTGCTGTCGCTGGAAACACGGAGGGCCAGGCGGGCTCGCTGTTGAAGTCGGATGCGACCGGAAAAGTTTTTATTCTGCAGATCAGAGCCTAACTCCAGCAAAAAACCAGGGGGGCTCTGAGGGGCGTCCGAGAGGCCCGGACGCCCTATCACCTTATTCTGCAGGTTCTTCCGAATTTTTCGTCGTGCGCCGTCTTCCGCGCGTCGCCGGTTTCGCGGCTGCTCTGCGTCGAGGAGAGGTCTTTTGCGCCGCTTTGCGCTGTGAGACTTTCTGTGGTGCCCTGGTTGTGGAAGCGGCGACCTCTGCAGTTTTTTCTGTGTTCCCGGATTTTTCGGGATTTTCCACCTTTTCCGGATTAGCGACTTCTTTGGGCCGGACCAACGGATCTTCAGTCACATCTTCGGATGCGGGCGGCAATCCCAGAACCTTGTGAAACTTTTGCAAGGTTTCCAAAGTGTGTGATGTCATCTCATCGATGGACCCGGGAATGTAACGTACGACCCTGGAAGCCAGCTCACGCTCTTCTTTTGTCCTGAGCAGCTTCGGCAGTGACGTGATCGCCTTTTCAGGCGCGAATTCCACGATCAATGTCTGTTCCTGCAGCATGAAGCTGCGTTCGTCCGGTGTCAGCGACTTGAATGGTTCATCTTGTGTCAGAACACGCGAAGATCGCTCCAGTCGGTCGCGGCGGACATTTCCCCTGCTGTCCGCCAGCAGGATGAGCATGCGAACGACGGCTTCACGGAAACCGCCTTCCTCGATATGCATCAGAGCGGTTTGAACCGGGGGCAGACTGCGCAATTCCTCTTTTTTCATCAGCGTTCGGCCCGGCTGTTTCGTCCGCCCGAACCAGCGCATGTAGGGCGATCCCCAGATCGTGTAGAACAGGTTTTCGTACATTGTGTCGCGCAGGTCCCGGAACAGGTCCATCGATTGCTCGATGAGCGCTGCGTTGACACGCTCCAGCTCGACGAAGGGATTGTCCGCGGCGACCGGTTTTCTATCCTCCTTCACCCGCTCCGCCAAACCCGGCAACATGTTCAGGAACGGGTTCATGCTGGAAAAGAGCTCGCGCTGCATCCGAAGAGGATGAGTCTTGCGGCGCAAATCCGCGCTTTGTTCGGTGACGCCGGCCTGAACAAGAGGGCGCATGCAGACATCGTAAAACTCTGCCTGCTGTTCAGAGGCTCTTGCGACAGCCGCAAAGGGGATCTCATCGTCCCGGCCGTCGTCCATCGCCTTGAGGTCTTCCATCTTGCGCTCATGGAAACTGACCGTGAAGGACCTGTCCAGGATGTCACCCTCGTAGTCGTCGATCGTCATTTCATAAAGACCGGGAGGCAGGGCTTCGATGGTCTTCAAGGTCGACGTGACCTCGGTGTGCTCTTTCTTGGCTATCTTGGACGAGACAAAAATTCCAAGATGCCCGACCTGATCGTGAACCATATAGATGATCCGCTGCCCGCGAATGACGATCTCCCGCTCGTCGGCATAACTGTCGATGATCCAATTGAGCGCTTGTTGTGGCGGGGTGATATTGTCACCAAAGCTGGCAAAGACGATAATCGGCGCACGGATCTGCTTGATGTCCACATTCCGTCCAGGTTCGAGCTGTGCCTCGTTCTTGGACAGCCTATTGCCGACGAAAAGTTGCTCGACGATCCACTTCATTTCCGCTTCGTTCAGCAGGAAATAGCCACCCCACCAGCGTTCAAACTCGAGGAAGCGATGCGGCTCGGTATCAACCCTGGCGTAAAGGTCATAGTACTTGCCGAAATAGTTCCGTGACGGATTGAGCAGTTCAAAGTTCTGAACGATATCAGCACCGTCGAAAACGCCGTGGCCAAGATCGGAATAATACATGGCATTCCAGGTGCCTCCCAGTATTCCGCCGTTGTAGCGCATCGGATTTTCTCCGACACGTCCGGCCCAGGTCGACACGGGTGCACCGTTCAAGATGATGGGACCGGTGAGGTCCGGGTTCGTGGCCGCCAGCAGCAATGTTGCCCACCCGCCCTGGCAGTTTCCGGTTACAACCGGGTTGGGCGCATCGGGATGCAATTCCCTCACCTTGCGCACGAACGCCGCCTCGGCGTGGGTGACATCGGCAAGCGTCTGCCCCTTTTCGGGCATGCGCCTGAAAGCGACAAAATAGACAGGGTGACCATCGCGAAGAGCGACACCGACCTGGCTGTCCGGCTTGAAACCACCGATACCGGCACCGTGTCCCGCGCGCGGATCGATGATGATGTATGGACGTTTCCAGGACTTGGGCGCGCGTTGTTTTCCGTCCGCAGGCTGCTTGATCTTCAAAAGCATGTAGCAGCAGGGCCGCGGCAGGTCGGCCCCATCCATGACGACATCGTAGTCGTAGATCAGCACCGGTGGGCAGCCGGCGTCCTCATGTTCAATGAAGATATCGCCGCGCTGACGCAGCGTATCCATGGTCAGGACAATGCGCTGCGCAGCGTCCTGCCAGTAGTTTTCAAAGGCACTGTGGAGACTGCCGCCCGACTGCGCCCGTGTGAGCCCCTCAAACGCCTTGCCATACGCGGACAGGCTCTCCTGCCAGCGGCTCTTGTGATGATCGGTCATGTTGGTCAAATGCATGGTCAGCCCCCTGCCCATGAGTTCGGCCATGTTGGAAATCTCGGTTGCCTGCGCCTGCAGAGCAGTGAAACGCTGTGATGATGACCATGCCGTGGCGTCGTGCAGCGAGTTGAGGAACTCGTTATGACCTTTTTCGAGAGCGTCAAAAATGTCCTTCATCAGGACCTCCTATCCAACAATGCTGTATCCGCCATCTATGAAGTGAATGCCGCCGGTAACGTTGAAGGCTTCCCGGCTTGCCAGGAACGCAGCGTAGGCTCCAACATCGTCGATTGTTGCAAGCTGATGCGTGGGCGCACGCTCGGCAGCGTCGTTCAGGAGTTCGTCGAACTCCGCAATTCCCGATGCCGCACGGGTTTTCAATGGTCCGGGCGAGAGCGCATGAACGGATATTCCCCTCGGTCCCATTTCAGCGGCAGCATAACGGGTTGCGGCTTCGAGCGCCGCCTTGACCGGTCCCATGACCCCATAGTTCTCGACAACCTTCTGTGCCCCCATGAAGGACACTGTCATGCAGGTTCCGCCTTGCGGCATAAGCGGTTCAGCGCCGCGGATTAGGCGCAGGAAAGAATGTACCGAGATATCCATCGCCAGGCCGAACCCCTCGGCGGAACAATCCACGACACGCCCGTGAAGGTCTTCCTTTTTCGAAAATGCTATCGAGTGAAGCAACGTATCGAGCCTGCCCCATTTCTCCGTGATCTCACGAAAGAGCGCATCCTGCTGTTCCAGGTCGCGAACATCGAGCGGCGCAACGATTTCAGCGCCCAGTTCTTCGGCAAGCGGCCGGACATGCGGTTCGGCCTTTTCATTCAGGAACGTAACCGCCAGGTCGGCTCCCTGCTCGCTGAACGCCTTCGCGCAGCCGTATGCGATGGACTGGTCGTTTGCGACCCCCACCACCAACACTTTCATGCCCGTCAAATCAAACATATGCGGTCAGCTCCCTGACGCTGGAACAGATTGGAACCGGCACGAACCGGACGAGACCTCCCGCTGTTTCAGATGCAACCTGAAAACACATTGCAGTGCAACATGATCCTTGTGACGAGAAAATGACCAATCGCAAATATAGGTGGTTGTGCGGACCCCATTCCCAACTCGAACTCATTTACTTTAGGTAACTTTTAACAACACAACCAAGATACAACTTTATATTGAAAATATTAATCCGGCCATTATTTGAAGAAATTTCCTTATTTTCAATTGTGGACATGTTATGATTTCAACCCCATCTTTTAGAATTGAACAGAAAAATTTATTTAACTTGAGGACCGCGTCATGAGGAATGTTTTGATTATCCTCCTGTTACTATCTGGCAGCACGGCACCTGGCTTTGCACAGACAGCCTGCAATCCGGCAACGCAATATTGCCGCTAAGAGCGTTGAAACAAGCAGGTACCGACGATGCCTGATCTGGTCGCCTTGCTCTTTGGAGCCTTGATCATAGGCGTTTTCTCTTACGAGCGATTCAACAAGGCAACTTATGGCGGGCGCAGGCAGCTTGAGCGTCTGGTCGATCTATTGACACCCGACAAGCTCCGTGCACGCAAAGTCGTCTTCCATGCGTATACCTTTTACGCGCTGACGATGCTGATGATCTATTTCTTCTTGTGCGCTTATGCCGAGGTCATCCCCTATCTCGGCGGTCCGGATATCGTCTCCGACACGGTCGGTGCGAGCCAGTTGCCAACGGCACCGACAGACGACGCGGACAGTTCGACAACCGGGTTTGTCCCATTGCCCAACAGCGACAGCGTTTTCTGGGCACAGCCACTTTCAAGCGAAACGGGTCCGTCCGAGAAAAGAAACTTCCTCGATATCGGCATAGATCCGTCCATTTCTCTCACGATCGCGCTCATCATTGTCGGTCTTGCCCCGACCTTCCCGATCCTGCAACGCTTTGAAGACTGGATGCGCAGTGCAGCACACCGTCTCGCGGGTATTCCCACGCGTGTCATCGGGGCCGGCGAGGATCTGCAGCGCAATTCAATCCAGATCCGGGATGCAGGGGATCCGGGCAACGACATTCCGAAAAACAGCCTGCTGATCCCGCGCGGCCATTGGGAGCGCATCACTCATTATTCAAAGGCAGCGGAAGGGCAACTTGCAGACCCTCAGGACTTTCACGAGGACCTTGATCTGATCTTTGCGATTTCGTCCTGGATCCTGGATCGAAAGCTGAAACTGGCCAATGCGAGCCAACGCGAAGAGTTCGACAAGCTCGAGGCCGCCCTGACCAGACGCAGAGATGTTCTCCTTCTGGAACTGGACGAGAAGTCGAGTTATCAGGCCGGCGAGACCCTAAGCTCTTCGGAACATTCAGAGGCGACTCTGGAGGCGGAAACACCTCACGAAGGCAACGGGGCGGCGGAAAACTCCGCGTCCAGGGAAAAGAAAAGGGCCAGTTGGGAACGACTTGCCGAACATGCCGATCACCTGGCAGACGATCTTTGCATATTGCTGGCCCTTTATGTCGAACACGAGATCATCATTTCGGAGGCAACTCACAAAAGGTCAGACAAGAATACTCCCAGCTCGGTCAGACAACAGATTCTCGCGAAGGAAAAGCTCGAGGCCTTCTTGAGCGACTTGCTCAACGAACATGCCGGGCCGGTGCATTCACGCTCTCACGCAATGCTTACAATACTCTGGTCCGCCGGCATCACCATCCTGCTCGCTGTCGCATGGAGTATTTTTCCCGGCCCGTATGAATCCGCCCTGCAGAGCGGGACGCCCGGAAACCCGTACTGGCGCGCGCTTGGGTATGCCACCACCTCCTTCAACAGTTTCTGCATTCCGATCATAATCGCCCTCGCGCTCCGGGACGGCGCTCGCCAGACCCACCGCTGGCGGAACATGTCGCAGTCGCACTGGACCAAGAAACTGCCGCAAGCCCTGCTGCTGGTTTTCATTTCCTGGGCGGTCGCAACCCTGTTCATTATCGGATTGGTGCTCTGGCGCTCGGCGATCGAATCCGGCGGATGGTCTGAAAATCAACGCACTGTCTGGACAACACTGAGATCATCATTCGAATACAATGCCCCGACCCCCTTGAGAGGGGCTGTGCTTGCGCTGATCCTTGTTGTGCTGCTTGACGCCGCCTCGACCATGTCCAGATCCGCCGTAGCACAGAAGACTCAGGCATGGAGCCGTGGCTGGGCGATCCGCGCCGCGATCATCATGGGTTTATGCGGAGGCGCGACGCGCTTTCTGACGTCCTGGGCGTCCGCGCTCAACCGGTCAGCGGAACAACCACAACTGGATGCGATCGATCATGGTCTGATCGCATATGCGGCCATCTATTCATCTATCCTCGGGTTCCTGGTGGTCTTTTGCATCGCTGAAGCGCTTCAGAACCAAAGGCGACGTCAATCGGGCGCGCACGCCAAAGCATCACAATCGACCGGCCATGCACCGGCAAAATCACGCACGGCCGCCTCATGAAGTGGCTGATCTCCCTTGGGCTCATCCTCGTGCAGGCACTCGCCGCTGCCTCCACCGGCAGTGCGGAAGAAAATGACAAGCCGGTCAAAATGGCCGTTCGAACGGATACCAGGCCATTCATCTGGATGAACAAGGACTCTGGAGAATACCTCGGATTTTACTGGGATATCTGTACAGAGGCGATCCACCGCGCAGGATACCAGCTCGAAACCGTCGAGATCGGCACGGCGGAACGAAAATCCATTCTCGAAACCGGGCGGATCGACGTCGGTGGGGACAAGCTGGTTCCGCAGGAGACTGCAACGGCCAGCACAACATTCCCCGAGACTGAAAAGGTCTCTTCCGGCGGCACCGAGATCGATTTTCTATGTGATCCGACCACCATCACGCTGCTGCGCATGAAGAGTTTCCCGATTGAAAACGGCACACCCGTGCTTCATTTCTCGCAAATTGTCTTTGTAGCCAACAGTTCCTTTGTGAAGTCCAAGCCAGGAAAGGATCTCACCAAGAACGAGGCCAGACTGCCTGAAGACGGGACGAAGCCGACATGCGATTGCATTTTGCCGTGGATCGATCATGTGAGCGCTGTCGGCAAAGGAGAATCTGCGCCTGAACACACATGTGAAAACGCGTGGTGGCCGGAGACGGCACCTGATCAGGCAAATTCGGCGGCAGAGGGTGGCGAAGCCGGCAATGGAAACCCGAGCGACCAAAGCCAGGCAAGTTTCTGGAATCGGTTCAAAATAGATTTTCAATTTGTGCCCGCAACGCCGCAACAGGTGAAAACCGAAGCTCCCAAAGACTATGAGGTCTGGGGATATGTCGAAGGGTCCACGATCGGCGACGCGCTCAATGCGCGACTGAACATGCCGCCCAAAAACCAGATTGGCGCCAAGATTATCTGTTCGCGCAACTATGCCTCGCACACCGAGGCAGCCAGGGCATTCTGCAATGGTGAATTGTCACGCTATTATGGCGATCTCGATATTGTTCAGGCATCGCTTGCAGACCAGCGTAGTCAGACCAGGAGAGACTGCGCAATGGATCCGGCGCCGTCTGCCACCGGCAGGTACGAGCCTTATGCGTTCGTCATTTCATCGAGAACGCATCCGGGGCTGCCGGAGAAGGTCGACCTTGCGCTCTACAGCATGTTTCAGGACGGAACCATTGAACGGCTGTTTGCCGGTCACTTCCCCGACACCAAGATGTCGGACTTCCTGAACACGCTCTTTCGAATAAACAGCATTCCGGCCGGAACCGCGCTTGCAAATGATGCGCCGGACAATCCGGCCTCAGCCCGGAACCAGAACTGAAAAAGCCGGCCCCGCGAGATGCGGGACCGGCCTGTGGCTCAGAGCGTGGAGCGAAGGCTTACGCCAGATCGAACCGGTCCGCATTCATGACCTTGTTCCAGGCAGCAACGAAATCCTTGACGAATTTCTCCTGGTTGTCGTCCTGGGCATAGACCTCGGCATAGGCCCGCAGAACCGAATTCGAGCCGAAGACCAGATCCGCGCTGGTCGCGGTCCACTTCAACGTGTTCAGCTTGCGATCCCGAACTTCGTAGGTACCGCCTGAAACCGGGTTCCAGCTGTTGGCCATGTCGGTCAGATTGACGAAGAAGTCGGTGGTCAGCGCTCCTTCGCGGTCCGTGAAGACGCCATGCTTTGTACCGCCGTGGTTGGTTCCAAGAACACGCAGGCCACCGACAAGAACCGTCATCTCCTGAGCGGTAAGGCCAAGAAGTTGCGACCGGTCGAGCATCATTTCTTCCGGGCTGACGACGTAGTTTTCCTTCTCCCAGTTGCGGAAGCCGTCAGCCAACGGCTCCAGAACGTCGAAGGAGTCGGTGTCGGTCTGTTCGTCTGTTGCGTCGCCGCGTCCAGCGGTGAAGGGAACCGCAACACTGAAGCCGGCGGCCTTGATCGCCTGTTCAAGTCCGACATTCCCGCCAAGGACGATGACATCCGCGAGCGAAGCACCGGCTTGTGAAGCGATCGGTGCAAGAACCGCCAGCACCTTGGCCAGACGCTCCGGCTCATTGCCTTCCCAGTCCTTCTGGGGGGCAAGGCGAATGCGCGCACCATTGGCACCTCCACGCTTGTCGGAGCCGCGGAACGTGCGGGCACTGTCCCAGGCGGTTGCGATCAATTCGGCTGCGGACAGTCCGCTTGCAGCGATCTTCGCCTTTACCGCATTGACATCATAAGACGTCGTACCTGCCGGGATCGGATCCTGCCAGACAAGTTCTTCAGCCGGAACATCCGGTCCGAGATAGTTTGCCTTGGGGCCCATGTCGCGGTGGGTCAGCTTGAACCAGGCACGCGCGAATGTATCGCGGAAGTAAGCTTCATCTGCCATGAATTTCCGGCAGATCTCGTTGTAGACAGGGTCCATTTTCATGGCCATGTCCGCATCGGTCATCATGGGGTCATGATGGACAGACGGGTCGGTCGGATCTACCGGCT